ACTTGGGTTTACTGGGTGATACACTCATCCGCCGATGGAAATTTGTAGTAAAAGCTTTTCGGGGACAACTGGCGTTCCGTGGCTTCTTCAATTTGTCTAATACTACGGCGGACTCTATGCGCCAGACTCCCAGAATATATGCATAGTATACTCTTGTTTTAATCCTCTCCTCTGGCCTCTGGCTACCGCTTCTAGGTTTTTCTCTCGGGCTCCTTATAGAGGGACAATAAGAATCAAAGTCGAAGAGGCGGAGGGTAGGCTAGGAGTGGGAGGGGGCTAAGAGGAAGACGTTTTTGTGGCCCGTAACTAGATCGAAGCAAATTATGAAGATGAAGTAACAAATCAGCGGTTAATTTCGATAATTCATATCGTTGACTAGTTATTGGTACCAAATATTGTCGCACGGGTTTCAAGAATAATATTCACCGAGCTAAGTAACAGTAATTCTAACACATTGCTGAAGATAAAAGAAAGTCCTGCTTTCCGCTTACTGTACCCTGATTATTTCCAGCTTCTTTCTCACCACACACACCATTCCTCCTCTCCAGAGACAGTAAGATAGAAAACCCGAGGACGAATCTTGGTAGAATAAAAAAAGAAAACAAGTCAAGAATCTAGGCGCTTATAAAACAGAGAATACAAAATCCTGCAAGTGGTGTGCATATGTTTAGTTATGGTGGCCGCGTCTGGAATGACGTTCCATATCCCGTCGTCGTAGACGTTGAGCAGTGTCCTTAATATCTTCCAAGGCTGCGGATGGGACAGGGACAATGCCACCTGTAGTCTGTGGGCCGGATGGCATCATGGTGCTTACAAGGGTGTAAGTCTTGGTGGTAACGTAAGTGCGGCAGGCAGGTTGAGTTGGTGGAGGACAGGAGTCGCCTGGGTTTCCGTTTCCGCCGGTGGGCTGAGGGCCGTTGTTACTGGATGAGCTAGAGGGTTGCATGGGCGCTCCTGTAGGGTTGCTGGCAGTAGGAGCAGGCTGAGTGGCAGAGACCATGGAAGAGACGGTTGAAGTAGACTTCATAGTGGGCAGGGCGGGGGTCGAGGATGGAGGTGCAGGGGCCTGGCTAGGCTTGGTTGGAGCAGTTCCCTGTTGGTATACCTTCATGTAGTTGATTGACCAATATGCGTCCTCGAAAGCGGACGGGTTTTCACGGACGTATTCCATGCAAGTAGGTGCTTTCTTCGAGCAGATGGGGTCACCGGGCCACATTCCATCAGCCCAGCCTCCGCAAAAGGCAGTGTTAAAGATCTAGTGATATCGTTAGCTCTGCACCATAAGCAAGACATAGACATCAACATACTATTCTTTGATTGCGAACATGTTTGCCAATAGGACATTCTCCACCGCCGAAGAAAGCAGAGGGCTTCCCCCATTTGGATGGATCGGGGTGCTCGCTGTTGACATCTTTGGGAATATCTTCACGGGGGAAGAACCAGATAGAGATGGCCTGGTCGGTCCATTCGGTAGCAAAAACACCACCTGTAGCGTTGTTGAAATCTGGTCCGTATCCTCGGGATCCCTTTGTATCTTCGACTAGACAGCCCTGGTTTTCAGCTTGACCGAGGGCCTTAACGTCGCAGTTAGGTGTGACAACACTTCCAGTGAAATCTCCCCGCTCAGGGATGCTGCACCCCTGAGCAGTGTGAAGGGCGTAGTCATTTTGTTTTTGTTGGTTGACACCTTCGATTATATCGAGCTCGCCCTCCATTGGCCAGGCAGAAGAGGTAGTCCAGCTATAATCACAGGTCCGCTTAGTTTGTGTGCATAGGATGTGTGTAGTAGCGTGAAGCTTACAAGGCAGGCCATGTTCCGCACTCTCCTCCAGGCATGTGGTTGATATCAGCAACGATCAGCCCATGGTTATACACCTTCTTCGTCTCGAGGCGAACAGAGCTTCGGCCCTCCCCGGTTGCAACGTTCTTGTGATCGACACCTAGGTAGACAGCGTTGTTCCGGACGCCGATCAAGTTCTGGCTTCGAGCTTCCGCCTGGTCGAGGTAGTTGACATATGCATGGGTTGGATCTTTCGCCTACGTCACATATCATTAGTATATAAGTACGTCAGAACTGACTCCATCAAGTGGTATCACACACAGAAAAGAACCTGAACTGGTCAAACCAGGTGTTTGGCTGGTAGTCATCCTCGAGGATGTATGTAGCAGAACCCAGCTCTGCCAAAGCACCCAGTAGCAGCAACCCGGTAGTACGCATGTTGATCATAGAGTATTTAGGAAATGGAAAAACGGAGAAATAAAAAAAGAATAATACGAAACAAACAAAAAAGGTCCGGATGTTTCTGTGGAAGAGAGTGGAAATCTCAGGATATATAAATGCTTGGAAGTGAATGCAGGGTATATTTTAAAAGAGGTAGCTCCGGTTTTCTTATATATGGAATCTGAAAGAAAAGAATGTAGATAGTTTCAGAACGAAGACTTGATCCTGCCAGAGGGGTCTTCTTATTCAAAACAATAGCACAACAATAAGGGAGAGACAGAAGAAGAATAAGCTAAAAAAAAAAAAAATTGAACCTCAAGGAGCGTAAGAGTTTAGAAGCAAAGAGGACAGAAGAGCAAGCGAAAGAAGCACCACGAAGGCCAGTCCAGCCAGCTTATAACATTTCTCCCACGCTCAAAAGAAAAAGGCCTCTGATACATCAAGACGCAAAAAGGTGAATAAACCTTTCTCTTGGGCCGTGGTCTATTTTCAGATTCGCCATCGAGGGGGGCCAGCGTATACAACACACATGGGCTGAGTGTCAAAAATGGTCGTATCCCCTGACCTTGAACCGCAGGACGGAACAGGCCCAGGGCCTGGCGCTGCAGCATGCCGGTCCACAGCCCAGAGCGAGCGCCAAAGAAGGGCCAGAGAGAGAGCAGTCTTGTCGGTTCTCGGGTGGCCTGGACGGTTGTTCGCTACTTACCGAGTACTCCAGATATGTCTGTTACCAAGTGTATACGGAGTATGGAGTACGGAGCATGCGCGTACTAACGTTGCCGCTGGGGGGCTTGCTCAGCGCTAACTATAATGCCGCTGTGGGCCAGACAAGAGCTGATCATCCACCCAACCAGATCGCCCAAACACCAGGCTGACGAGCATAGATGAAGGGGAAATTAGCCCCAGGACTTGCCAGCACACACATCGCATGCGCGCGGGACATGTCGAGCGGCCACGGACGAAACCGTTCTGAGGGGCTTGGTGTGTCAGGACGGTGGGTTGTGGCCCCTGAAGCTGCATCGTCAGCTGTCGAATCAACGGCCGTACCTTCAGATTGGCCGGCTGCAGCCCAGGCACAACCGCTGTCCTCTCGGCGCCAGTGCAGCAAGCAGGCCGGGGTGAGGCATCCATCAACTGAGGATCCCCCTGTCGGGAGAGACGCCGGTCTCAATATCTCCCGATTCGCCCTTCGCACATACTGACGACCTCACTGATAATGCGCCCTACACGGGAATATTGTGGTATTATTCCGCCGAGCTGACGATGAGACATTTTTAACCTGCCAGATACACCCTCCGTCATTCGCTGATAGTTCGATGGCTCGACAGTTCTTTGGCCAGGCGCCGCCGCCGCCGCCGTCGTCGTCGTTGTCGTCGTCGTCTTCTTCTACTTCTTGACTGGAGGACAATGATAGAGACGTCTTTCTTCGTACTGTTATTGGCTGGCCCCCTATCCAACCATATTTACTGTACTCGTATTATGTAATGAAAAATTTGGGGTAATTCACGTGATTTGGTAAGCCCTAGCTCTTATTACATTAATAATAAGCTCACTTCACCGCTCTCAGTTCATTGGATAGCACGACTAACCAATAGAATCAACGCTCGCCGGCAACCTCTTGGAGATGAAATTAGAAGTACTTGGGGACTCTCGATATAATAAATATACCTAATATATAATCGTCTACTCCGTGCCCATTAGTTCTATGTTATTAATATACAGCAAAAGTGGAGGATATCTGCGGCGGGGATAGCAGGTGTCTTGCTACAATAATAACTACTCCATGACCTCTTGCTCTCAGGCTGGAAAAGAAGACGTTTGTTCTCTAGGACGCAATTTCCTTCACTTTAAGGAGGCCCCAGCTATATAAGGATATGCACATTGACATGGATACTTTTGGGTTGAGATATCGCACTCCCTCGGACTTCGAAGCCCGCGGGCGAATCCCAACCTGCAGCAATCCTGTTGTGTTACACCCTACTAAAGATTCCATGATGAATAGCATTTGTGAATGCTGCATGAGATATTCAAAATACAGAACGAATGATAATCCCCGAAGATAGCCCACTTAGAGGCAATTATATCCTCACTCCCCATGAATCAAGCATGATATCTAATAATAACAGAGATTCCATGTAATAACCCCCAAGCGGCCACCAATGCGATCGTGTTTGCTCCCCAGATGTCTTGTAAGACCCGGTAAAACGATCCTGCAATAGCAGCCATGAAAATGGATTGTTATAGCGCATCAAATCAAATAACTTTAGGCTTCCGAACATTGATGACTTTTATTTTTAGAGTTATAAATGTAATGCTCCCACGACCCAATAACGGCTTGTCGGTTTGTGTAGGCTTACTATCAAGTGTCTTAAAGGGCAGTGACTCAAGGTGCCGCGCACTTTGCAGAAGAACAATCTATCAAGAATAGAAGCTTGAGGACTTCGCACATTCCCGCCGCTTATCTCCAATCGCCAGACTTAGACCAAGCTTTGTCGGCTCCACTCAGCATCAAATTCAAGATAATCAACCCTCTGGCGCAGCTTTCAAGTTCAAGGTTGGACTTACTGATAACACCTAGAGGCCCTGGGATTCAAAAGCCCATGGCATCAATCAGCTTCGAGAAAAGTATTTCTATCCCCGTAGACCACTGTTCTACACTGCCTCATTTCATAGAGTCAAGGTCCTGTTTCATAGTAATATACTGTGATTTTTATATCGCTCCCTGGCCAAGCAAGGGAGAAAAAGTAATCAAGGGCAAAATAAAGATGCATAACAGCAGCTATTTACACAGTAAACATGAAAACTGTCGGGGTTCGATTCGGTCGTGAATATGGCGATGGAAGGCTGGCTCAGTGGGTATCGAGGGTGAAGTATTATCGCCGCTGTATTGCTGAGCCACAGCCTCGGTAAGACATGACTGATGATATAAATGCCTGCACCCGAACACAATGAGAGGACCAAGGTCCACGGGGGCTGCCGGAGTAGTACCTGTAGAGGCTGCGCCGCTTGCTTGAGACGGTCCACCTCCGCTGACGCTTGTCCCATTGTTCTCAACAGGCACTGCCGCCATTTTTTCTCTCCGTGAAGAGGGCTCGTTCTGCGTTAGGCTGGATGTAGGAGCCGAAGAAACAGCGATCCCTTTACCTTTGTTCCTCGAAGAGACGTTTATGTCTCTCTCATAATCCCTGTCGCTATCAGGGAATTGATTTCGTCTCCGTCTGTGTTGCTGATCCCACTCATTTTCCCAGGCATCCCATATGTATGCCCCGGTACCAGGGCCCCATACACGCCGCCTGCATACCTCACAGACCTGACCACGCGGTCTCCAACCCTTTTGTCGAAGCTTAGAGATTTCATTCACGTGTACAAATAGGTCCTTGTCAAGCATCGTATTAGCAAGGGATAGTAAGGATTCTTCGTAGGTATACGCAGAGAATATGGATCCAATCACAGTTCGAAGCTCAGACAGTGACGGGGATGCCGCCGCAGCCCGAGTGAGGAATGCACGAAGAATGCGAAGGAATGACACATCAGTCTTTTGATGTGGCGCGTGTCTGGCCTTTGTTGTGCTAGTCAGTAAGGACGTGAAAACTTGCTGAACTAGTGACCTGAAGGATGATGATAGATGGCCAGGCTGGTTAGCGTCCTCGTCATCTTTGTCAGCTTCCACTTGCCAGACTTCTCTTGCTCCCTTGCTATTGTCTTCAAGCAGCCCACGCCTTAGTAGAGGAGAAATTTGTTGAGCAATCTTCACGACAGCTTCGATAAGAACAAGCCACAAATTCTCATCATATGTCAGGGGTTGTTCAAAGACCGAGCTTCCCCTTTTATTGAATTTGCCTCCCTCATGGACCCTTCTTGCAGCCTTGCTTTGTTCTTTGCAGAGCCATGTACCGACTTGGGTATATTTTTCAACCGAGAGAATTAGGTCGGTCACCGCTTCAGCTGCATTTGCTGAGTCAGGGGTATCGTCAGCATTCTGCAGAAGGCCACACAGGCCGGCTTCTAACGTTGATAGATGCCTTGTCAGCCTTTCCATGGCATTGGTAACTTCCCCTTGTTTTGCAAGAAGGATTACTGCAGCGTCCACAATGCCACTGTTCTCGATGTAAGGGATAACAGCTTCAAGCTGAAGATCCCCTACCTTTGTCAAATTAATAAAATCGGCAACATGGGAAGGGTTATATTGGCACATTAATTGGAGATATTTCTCAAGAAGCTCGTGGTTAACAGTATCCGCGGATCTGGTGTCTGTTCTAGGTTTCTGCTCATCTTCAATGATCGTATGCAAATATTCATATTGGCTTGCAGAGTCATCTTGAAGTGATTGGAGGAATTTCTGATGTAACTCGGGTGCCAATGACTGAACAGTATGTGCAGTCTCATATATATTTATTGAGGCCAAGTCCTTTGCAATCTCTTCCATCGTGGTCAGGATATCTCGACGCTGCTTCTTAGTAAGAGAAGAGCTTGGCCGTAAATAATCGCGGATGCAGACAAACACATGCTGTTGATCCTCTGGGTCTGCGATATATGTTCGTAGCAAATCTGAATACCTCTTCTCGGTTCTATATGTTGATTTCAGAATTCGGAAGAATTTTGCCTCCTTGAACAAGGGAATCAGGGCTTGGATATCAGGAGGATGATATGTTGATAACAGATATTCTGCAGACAGTTGGCAATCATCAAGCATTTCGATACTGGGATACTGGCAGAGCCTAACCAGAACTTGTTGTAGGGTTGAGCCGGAGAGGAGTATATACTGGGGGTATTTGGGGAGATTTCGAGCAATAAACATGTCAAGATAGATAGTGTCACTAGGGCCGAAGTCGGAAGAATTCGAGTCCATGACTTCAAGCAGGATCCTTAATAAATATTGACGATTTATAGAAGAACCATCAGCTGATTTTGCATGCTCGCCGTTATTCCACTGATCAACTGGGTCATTGAGAAAGCTATCTTCAAATGCTTCGTTTAGCATGATCATAAAACTTGGCGTGTCAAATTCGAGCATCATTCGAAGGCTTTGGAAAGGTGACGAATCATTGCCATGCCCATCACCACGACCAGGCTTCCCTGAAAACAAGAGTTTATAAACCTCGTTTTTAGCGGATAAAGCTTCATGCTCTTCCAGTTCATCGCCAGTTGGGTATACGCGAGATGTAAGGATGTAAGATAGATAGGGAAACATCCTCGATGCATTGGCATGATCCTTTGCTACTACCTCTGGATCTTTATCGGTACCTGATTCCTGTATCTTGTGCTTGCGTACGAGATTGAGTAACTCCTGAAGAGGACTGACGTAATCGTGCAAAGCACGGTTCCAAACGTATATGAACGCATCGTAAAGATTATGCTTTTTGCATAAGCTTGTCACTTGGTCTATGTCCATCGTGTCTGTTTCTAGGAGGCAGATGATTTCTTCAAGTCGGCTGGCGGTATGTGTCGTTACGAAATGCGATATTAAGGACTTCACGGCTGTTGGTGGGAGGGCCCGCACACTGCCCTTGATAATATATGGTTCCAACGCATCCATGAAAACACCATAGGCTTCACATTCCTCATACCAGGAGTAGACATCTTCAAATAGGAACTCATGGTTGTCCATGGCTTCGCAAGCAAATATACACGCATCAGCCAAGTCACTTAACTGTGACTTTTGAAGGCGCTCAATATCTGACTCGGCATTTTTCCCAAAGGCAAAACGGAGGGAGGCGGACATCATTTCAAGGAGTTTTTCCTGTACGACTTGGTGTCGTAATTCATCTTCTTCAGGAAGCCCGACGGTTAGTTTCTCGGAACGTCCGGTATAAAACGACGTAGCAAGTCGGATGGCCCCAATAAAATCACCACTTTCAACCAATGCTAGTAATCTATCGGCCCAGTTTGACAGACTGCCTACGCAGATATCGTTGAATCCTAGTAGGAACAGGCGGCCTTTGTATGCTCGAAAACTCATATAGAAGGCATCAGCAATCACACCGTGCATGGATTGATCTTGCTCATTATTCTCATCGTCATCATCATCGAGTTGCTCGATAAGCGTGTGGAGTTGCCTCGAAAATAAATCAACGTGATAAATGTGTTTATGAATCAAGTCTGATGAATCAGTGACCCGGAGAGAGTTATCTTCCAAGATAAGGAGCTGCTGAGTAATTGTCATCACAGCGAGAACTGAACGGCTTATCCATTGCACAGCAACAATAGCTTCATCTGCCCTCCACCTACATCGTGGCTTGAACCTGAGGCTGACAGGCCTATCTCTGTCACTGTCGTCTGTTTGCTTGTTTTCATCAACATCCAAGATTGTGAGCACGTTTGACCAGCAGTACACGAGTTTCGTCTTGGATACTTCTGAGTCTTTTCCTTTAAGCTTTATAGCTGGGAACCATGCTAATGTTGCCGTCAATGCACTATGCGCAGCAAGTTCTTTGGGCCGTCCTGATTTATACTGAGTTCTAGCAACGGGTGTGGTGGAAACAATCACCAATAGATATGGTGTAAGCATCGCAACTAGCCCTAATGAGTCAGTTGGTTGGTCGACGTTTCCTAGAGGAAGAGGAGAGAATGCGAGAACGGAGCTAGGTTTTCGGACAATGGCGGACGGTAAGAGCTCGGGGTACCGGCCTAAAATACGTGTAGTTCTTACTACCCGTCCTACAGCTCCCATTCCTCTAGTTGCGAGGTGTGAGAAGGCCATTCCGTTATCATCAGCGGAGACAAGAGCGGTGTGTCTAGTCCCTAAAAATCCGATGTGAATTACAGACACACCAGCAACATGGCCATCAGCTCGACGTGAGTCAAGCTGGTCCCTGGGAATTGGTGGCATATGCAGAAAGGGTCGTGCGGGTCGCGCAATTTCCCAGGTGAAAATAGTTCCATCCGCATGACCTCCAGCCAGCGTTGAGTGGTCAGCAGAGATAGCTAAAGCAGTGATCGAACCCGACGAAACAGCTAGAGAGAAATCAATTAGCTGATACCAAGTACGGAAGAGAAAAAATATCATCTGTTTAGCCTCACCTTTAGTCCCAGGTCCAATAATAGACTTTAGATTCTGCTGATAGTCAAAGACCAGGATAACACCCTTGGTTGTCCCTAACACAATCGACGTGGACACAGCAGTGCACGTCGGCCTACCAAAATTCCTCTTACCGACTTCAGAAAATACCTGGCCAGCTATCTTCTTCAATTTTGTCCATCGAACAACTTCCCACGGCGCTGGTTCTGAATCTTCCTCGGGGAGCTCGGGGGTACTACTGTCAAAACGAAGGTGACTGGCCAGAGATGAGTTTCGAGAATGTGCAAGACTAAGAGCCGGAGAGACTGAGCGATTGCTAGGCGGTATCGAAGAGACAGAGAGTCTAGATTGGAATCTGCGATCGAATGGGCGGTGGGGGACGGGACTTAGGTTCGAAGACGACCCGCGATGCGCCAATGCGCTGCTTCCTGGAGAGGAGACGAGTGAGTCCTATAGAGACATATCAGAGTACTGATCCTGTGTGTTTAAGCTCCGTGTAAAGTAATCAATGCGTACCTGAACCGACGGTGTATCGTCTGGTATGGATCCCAAATCCTCTACGCTATCATGAATGGGCTCCATTGAACGCTGCCTCGACCGTCCCTCGCCCCCATCAGATACCGAGCCTGAAGCCCCCGCTTCCGCCGCAGACGTGTCGCGACCGCTTGAGACGGAACCAAGATCGTCATCATGTGCCTGGTCATCCCCTCCTTCAGGCGCAGGAGTATCTCCATCCTCCCCCGTACCAATAAGTTCACTCTCATCCTGCTCATCTATATCAGCATTAGCACCGACATCGACATCAGAGCCAGGGTCGCGCAAGTCTAGCTCATCGTCTTGTGGTTCATTGTCGCTCCCTTCAATCGTAGGGCCCATCGGTTGCGCTATAGGTTTATATGATCATCGCTTCGAAATGGGTTGTATATTGAGTTGTGGGGAACACTCGTCCGTTATAACAGTGGTGATTCGGACCTTCAGTATAGATTATAGCTAGGCTTGGTATGTAATCGCATGTATAAAAGTGTTGATGAGGAGGGATGTCGGCTCGTAAAAAGGTATGCAATGTTATGCAGGCAGCAATTGTTTCGCCGTTGCTTGGCGAGCTATATAACTCGATGTGCGTTAACTGATAAATTCTCCGATAACTAGAAATTGATTCTCTGGCGACTTACCGACGTATTTGATAGCTGTGCCGGGTGCGGAGGATGGGGATGTTAGAGCAATAGCGCTGTTGGTCCAGGCACGGTTTATCTATGCCCGGAGCTGGAGGTTGAAGTAAGCTCGCGATGCCAAGCCGGAGTTTCTGCACTAGCTTTGAGTCAAATGACGGACGTCCAAGGTAGCCACACCATGGGCACTAATAACCTTCAATTACATCTGTCAAGTAAATATATTATATTCTTTTGTTGGGTACAGATCATGTTCCCTTTTTTAGCAGCATGTAAGAGAGAGAGAGAGAGAGAGAGAGAGAAAAGTAAAAAAAAGGACAAGGCAAGAAAGGCGACTCCAATCCTTCATATCTGTTTCCCAATCCGGCTGGACTCGCTCAGAGTTGATCAACAAGTTTCTAAGAGTAAAATAAAAGAGAGTAAAATATAATCAAATAAATCTATCAATATTTTTTCCTTCTCAGCAAAAGAAACCCCATGATAGCCCATTATCCAGTTTCGCCATAGCCATAGTCAGAGCTAGAAAGCTACCTATTAGTATCACGGCAATAACTCTAACCGCTAACTCAGTCAATAGAAGCAACGAGAGGGAACAAGGCAGGCAAGTCGATCAGAATAAGTGAATTACATAGTAGGGGTAATAAGGGGCGTGAATGTTGGGAAGGCCGTTTTTGTGGTATCACATGGGAGTCGAAGGTGGTAATGTAGATAAATGGAATGGAGGAAGGAAGGAGAGAAATAGGATACATGAGATGGCCGCCTGGGACGTTTGCTCTGTCAAGCAAGTGAGAAAGTCAAGGTATAGGATGAATGGTATGATATGATATGATAATGATATAAATGTTAGAACGAGAACAGCAGGGAAATGGAAAATGCATAAACGTGAACACCTGGAGCTAGACATGATAAAGAGGAAAAGGAAAAGCAAATGAAACCGGGGTGGGGGGAGGAGGGAAATTAAAGAAGTAAGTTTTTCAATGATGGACTCGCACTCGCTGCTGAACCAGATGTCGGCGCTGATTGCGGTTGCATACTGCCCATGGAACCTTGACGACCCATACTCTCTGATCGTGGTCGTGCTGGAGTAGCAGCCGGGCCTGCCGTGGGCGAGGGGTCAGCTTGACTCTGAGACTGAGGTGGTTGCGGCTGGTGGGGGTCCAAACTTCTTCGTGCGGCCGAGGGAGAAGAGAGATTTGGTTTTGGTTGAACAGGCCTGTCGATGGGGAACATTCGGGGTGGATGAGAGCCCGGAAGTGGTGTGCGTGAAGGAGGTGGTGGCGGGGAGAAGTGCATGGGGCCAGGGCCAGGAGCGGGGCCTGGGCCTGTGCCAGGTGTAGATGGGCCTGGACCCGGGCCAGGGTATGGTGTGTTTGCGCCGGATGGGTGGGGCGCAATTGGTCCATAGGGGTATTGGTGTGGCGGTGGAAGGGATGGTGGAGGAGGCGGAGGACCACCATTCGCGAAGGGCGGTGGATGATGTGCGTGTTGATGGTGCGGATGCTGATGGTGTTGATGCTGATGATGCGGGTGCGGGTGCGGATGCGGATGTTGTTGGTGATGTGGATGAGGATGTGGTAAGGCTGGGGGCGGAGGGGGAGGATACCCGTTCATTCTACCCTGAGCATGTGGCGGGGGAGGAGGGCCCTGATGGAATGGAGGTGGTGGGGGTGGAGGAGGACCAAGCTGCACACCATTAGGAGCAGGAGATATTCCTTTACGATGTAAATATTCGGCTGGTGGTCGCTGTTCATATTCCGGCCCTGGAGCAGGAGCAGGTCCAGGTCCAGGTCGCCATTCAGGAGCTCCATGGGGGTGCGTCAGGGGCGCAAGAGGGGGGACATGGCTAGGGCCATGCGCTTGAACAGGCTGAGCGTGAGGAGAAGACGCATAGCCATTCCTATGAAACTCAGGGAGACGAGGTTGACCCATTTCACGATCACGGTCAGGCGGGCCATAAGAGACTGGTGGCAGCGGTGCAAGCACAGGCGTGAGGGTAGGCGGAGTGTGGTGTTTCTTGAGATGGCATTTATGACACTCGTACACGTTGCGCTCGGGTATATCGCCATTTGTATCATTGGTGTGGTGCATCGAGGTAGGCCATCTGATCAGATCCAGTGGTCCTAGACCGTTGACGGGCTGCTGTTGATGCGGTGGTTGATGCGGTTGCGCGCGGCGCCACCACTTCGGGCTAGCAACAGACTGGCATCTGAAGCATTTCTTCGGAATGTCGTCCTTCCCCTGCCCGGTACTGCCCTGCTCGACGTCCCCTGTACCATTAACTTCATCATGCTGGTGTTGCCCCTGTCCTGGACTCGCCGTCGTCGCTGTACTTGGTCCCACACCGTTCGTCATCGCAGCCGCAGTCGCACGCTTACCAGCGCCGGATGGCGAGGAGTGTTGGACATATGCCGCCTTCCTCGCTGTCCCCGTAAGCGTAAGATCAGCCTGCTTGAACGTCCTAGCATATATTTGCAGGGCATTCCCTTCCGTCGAACCCTTCGATTCACCCATCTCATGGACTATGGTCTGCACATTATGGTGCGGACACCATATCGCTGGTGCAACAACACCCGTTTCCTCGCCCATGGTCGCAGTTGAAACAACGTCTTTCCTACTACTCTTCACCGGCGTGATGTCGAATCCCATGTTATATCCTGCCTGATGGGCACATCCAACATGAAACCGCGCATTACACGTTGAAGCCCGACACGAGACACAAGCGCCATTTTCCGTTTTGCATATCTTGCATCGGTCCTTGAAGCTTTCCTGCGGTATCGACTCAATACCCTCAGCGGGCTCAAGGTCTTTGGCACTGCCGAATTTGATTTCGGGAAACCATATGGCGCAGATGACATGTACCCAATTGTTACCTGCGGTACGCTTGAGAGGTTCTCGGGGTCCCACTGGTTTGCCTGCTGCTTCTTGACGTTGGCGATAGAGCTTGATCGCTTCGTTGACCATCTCGCGCTCCAGGCGCTCCTTTTCACGTTCTCGTTCGGATTTTTTCTTGTGAGTTGTTTTGGGCGGTTCCATGAGTTCGTGCTCCGTCTCGGTGACGGGACAGAGAACGCATTCGTATGATGTGGAAACAGTCGGGTTCCGGTCATTGGCGCACATGTCGCATATCCATTTTGTTGCAGGGCGGGAAGCATCGATTCCATAGCAGTCCCTGTGGACTGTGAGGCGGCAGTCTCGGCAGGATAGGTGCTGGTCGCCCATGGGATCCATCTTTTTGCATACAGCACAGGGCAGGACTTTGGGTCGAGGCGGTTCCGGTGCCAGTGGCGGAGGAGCTTCCTGCACAGCCTTCTCAGCTGCCCTCTTCCTGGATGACGTTTGCTGCTGCTGCTGCTGTTGGGGCGGCGGAGGAGCAGGCGGAGGGGCATCAGCCATGACGGCGTTGGCAGCGTTTGCATCTTTATCAGCTGTCTTGGTCTTCTTCTTGGCTGGCTGCTGATGTTGATGATGTTGGTTTTGTTGTTGTTGGGGTTCGGGTGGATTGCTTGCGGCTTCCTTGACCACTTCTGTAGTAACGTGTACTCCGATCGAAGCTGCTATAGTGGCGGTGGTTTGGTTGATCCTCACATCCGACTCGGAGGTGGTAAGGAGCTGAGACAATAATCCCTCATCATACTTTCGACGCCACGACTTATTCCCACCCTGCGAGATGCGCTTCGCGATCTCATCAGGGTCTTCCCAATGAATTCCATACTTTCGCCAAAGAACGGCGCAACGCTGACAGAGGGAGACGGTCAGCCGGTTGCCCTTTTCGCGCTTCCCGGACTGTTCGGCCGGCACGGTAAAGCCAGGTGGGACGGCGGGAGCTCGTCTCCAGCGCTTAGAAGAGCGGGTATTGCAGAATTTACAAGTGAATCCCCTGCGTTTCTCCATGGCCTTGTCATTGTCGAATGCAGAGTCGTCATAGTCGTCGGCAACATCGTCTAGCAGCTTTGCAGCACTGTCAGCCTTCTTGGCCAGTTTCTTACCCTTTCTGTCCTCGTAGTTGCCCCAGATCTGGCGTCCCTTGGGGGTCTTCTTCCACATGTAGTAGAACCGCACGATGTGACGGTGCTTGACGGTGCCGACATGTTTGGTGATACTCCGCAGCTCAGAGCCGTACTTGGCTACTCCAGCCTCGAACAGCTTTACCTCTTCGGGTTTGAGGTATGGCTCCTTCAGGTCGTTGTATCTATGCAGTGCCTTGAGCCGGGCAAGAGCAGGCTCGACATTAAAGTTCTCTTCGTACAGCAGTGCCAGGGCTTTGTCGAGGTAGTTTGTGGAGTAGTCCGGGATCCCTTTAGAAGTGGCCACTTCCTTGGCCTTGTCCATATATTCGTCGATGAATTTTTCCCTCTCTTCGACGGAGAGATGTGAGCCTGGCGCATCATCTTCTCCCCTGGCGGATGACAGCTGTGAAGGATCTGGCATCTTAAACTGGAGTTCGGCTGTATGAAACTTCTTCCCGTCCACGGTGATGGGCTCGTCCTCGCCACGGGCGATATAACCAGGGGGCACCTCCTGTACCCACTTTGGGCGCGACGCCCGCTCGGCACGATCTGCCTCCTGTGCGGCCAGGGCTTCCTTGGACAACTTGACCTCCTTCTTGGGCCCCGACCGGACGTACTTTCTCTTTGTCTCCGCGGGTTTGAAGTACTCGACCGGGTGGCCATACCAAGGCACGACGTTGGCCTGATGTCGGCTGCCCAACCGGGAACTGGCACGCGGGTAAATGCGATCGTCGTAGTCAAGCGCATCCTCCACGCGGCAATGGATGCCCAGATAGCGAAACTGCCATAGTTTGGCCTGGGAGATCTGCTCTGCTGTCGCCGGTTTGAGCGCATGTTGTTGTTGTTGTTGTTGTTGCTGCTGCTGTTGCTGCTCATTTGCCGGGCTACTCCGCTGGGTCGCAGCTGCTGTGTCTGCATCGGCAGAAGGCTGCTCCTCTTCTTCCTCTTCGACTAACTCGGGCTCTGTGTCGTTGTTTGTGCGCGACTCGCCCACCATGGGCGTGTTCCTAGCCTCGAGCTTCTTTTCCTGGGCTCTGCTGCACGGGCCACACGCCCAAGCGAATCCTCTGGCTGGCTTCTTCTGCAGCACCGGCCGGACACAGAGCATGTGGTATGTGTTATGGCACACCGCGCAGTCCACCGAATCATTACTACACACGTTAGCATACATAATACATTGTATATGGAAGAAGAGAGACCTACTTTGCAGCGTATTGTTGGCACTTTTTGCATGTCTTGACGGCACTGGTAAGCTCCTTTCTGCGGCCAATCTCGACCAAGACGTACTTCCATCGCTCGTCGAGAACCTGCTTGACATGCTGGGGCACGTTGATGACATGGCTGGTGGGAATAACATCATAGTACCGGTGGATGTAGCGGTCGTACATGCGCTCGAACCAGAAGCAGTCCTTTGCCTTCATGTACTGGTCCCAGTTTGCGATTTCGGTGCGGTGCTTGATGGTACATTTGCCGCGTAGCGACGTGAGTGGACAGGCGTCTGAGTGCATGGAGGCAAAGACGACTCGGAGGTCGTTGGTCTTGCGCTGGATGTCACGCGGCCGGTAGTACCAGTTTACGCGGACACTCTCAATGGGGCCTGATGGGTTGTCCTTTGACGGGAGAAACTCCATGATCCGCGCGAGGTAGTACGGCTCTCCTGGGGGCTCACATATCAAATATACGTGGTCTATGTCTGTGTTAGTACATGCATGAAAAGATAATATATATATATATATATAAATGCGGGAAAAAAAAAAAAAAAAAAAAAAAAAAAAAAAAAAAAAAAAAAAAAAAAAAGCGTAATAGACGTTACCATTTGGGGCGAGGAGGGTGCCATCGTCTGCCTTTAGCTTGCCGTTTCTGAGCATGGCTCGAGAGGAGCGAAAGGTCATCATAGAAGTGGTGACGGCCTCTTCTGAATTGCGCGAACCAGCGGCAATGAAGCGCTTGTTGGGGTGTCCACCCCCATTGGCCGGGACGACATTCTGCACAGTGGTGCTGGATCCGGGCTGCTTCCGCTTCTTCGACGAGACGACAACGGTGTTTGGGTTTGCGGAGAAAGTCGATGTGCCAGGAATGGCCGAAGTAGAGGCGGTGGTAGTGGTGGTGGTAGTGGTGCTGGCCGTGCTGGCGGAGGCCGCATGGCCATGGCTATCGGAGTTTTTGTCTCTGGCTGCGGCAGTCCCATTGCTAGCTGCGGCGGCGGCAGCTCTGCGCGTGCTCATGCCGGGCGGTCTCTCGCTGTTGGAGGCTGGCGAGGCGATACGTGTGTTGCTGGAAGAGGAAGAAGTCGTCTGGGCCGCGGCGTCCCTGTCCTTTGGCTTGCGGCCCGGGGTGCCTTTGGCCGTGGAGTTGGAAGTAGCACCAGCACCAGCGCCGGCCGCCGCAGAAGCAGAGACCGGGGCCAGCGGCCGCTCGAGCTCAGCATCCAGCTCTGTGTCTTCGGCATAGTTGATACGGGGCCTGTTTCGCGAGCGAGTGCTGTAGGGAGCGGGAGCGGGAGCAGGTGTGGTGGCACTGGACGCGGTCTCTGAAGAAACGGCCTCGCCCACGTCTCCTCTGTCCCTGTCCTTGGACCTGTCCGCTGCAGCTGCGGCCATGGCTGTAGTGTTCGCAGCAGCAGCAGCAGAAGAAGAAGAAGAAGAATAAGTAGTAGAAGTAGAAGAAGTAGCAGGAGGAGCCGTGGTTGTGGTTGTGGTTGTGGTGGTGGTGGTGGTGCTGGTATCTCGATCTCGTCCGCGGTGCTGGGCAGCAGCAGCCGCCATGGGATTTCCTGCAAGTTAGATAACTAGTCAAGACGGCGAGACGGAGGAGCAGCCTCAGGCGCAACCTATGGCCGTGAGGGATGCATCCACCGTGGGCAGGAGACGCAGACAGGCAGAGCAAGCACGCAGGGGAGAGGAGGAGGTAGAGGTGTAGCAAAGCAGGAGAAGAGAAGAACAGTAGAACAGTAGATGCAGAGAGCAGGAGGAGGAGGAGGAAGAGAGAGCGAGATTCTTTTGGTGTGTCTTGTGTCTTGTCTGGGCCTAAACTAAACTTAAGGCGGATTTTCGCTGGGTCTTGGGGGGGGTTCGGGGGGCAGATGGGATGGCCCATGGAGCGGGCTTCGTTTCTTTTCTTCTTCCTGCAGAGATAACCTACTGTCTACCAGCAGATAGCCAGACAGCCAGACAGCCAGACAGTCAGTCAGAGAGCAGAGAGCAGAGAGCAGAGAGGCGGAAGATAGACAGGGGAGTCCAGGACGGGCAGCAGCGCAGAGGGCCAGGAGACGCCAAGTAGTGACACAGGAGACTCTCTCTCTCTCTCTAGTTACTCTTGCTGTTACTCTTACGGGGTACTCTTGCTCTCTCTGCTGCTGCTGCTACTACCAACTCCCCTGTTACTCTCTCTTGGTTACGGAGTATTTGTCTACCATGTATCTATAGCCCCCGTCAGTCCTTTGCTTCTCATACAATCGAGGACTCTTGTATATCAACTCCCAAAAGGGCCACCTGCTGCCGCCCATTGACCAGTAGCAAACCCCCGTCCCCGAATATCTCACGACGGGGGCAGCCAGGACGGCCAGGACGGCCAGGGCCGCGGTGCTGCGTCTGCTTCCCCCAGATATGCAACTAACTGCGGCACTCCATAGTCGACGGCGGGCTGACTGGCTGACCAGCTACGCTGCTAGCTCCCAGCCAACTCCTTTCATGCTTTCATCCGGTTCATCCGCTGGTCCCTTCCCTCCTCCTGATAAACCATGATCTGAGTCCAAGTTAACTAGTCAACCCTTTCGTCTGCGTCTTGGTCTTCCTCTCTGCTGCTTTCTCCGTCTTTTTTCTCGTCATCATCGACTCGTCTCGCCACTCACGTCGCTGCGTTTTTTGCTTATTCTGCCTTTTTTTTTTCTCCCTCCTCTTGTTTTTTTCTTCTTCCGTCATTGCTTTTTCTTCGTCTTCCTTTCGCTGGTAAGTTCAACTGGCCGGTTAGAAAGTTACCACCAGTCGGACTGCACCTTGTCCAGTATTATTTTATTGGCTCTGCCGCACCGCAAGCGAAGAGAGAAACAGCAGACATCGCAGTAGCAACAGGGCCAGTACGGAAGTATACACAGTAGATATACAGCATCGCCGCTCGTCTCTTCTCTTTCTCTTTCTCTTCTCTTCTTCTCGCCGTCTCTCTTCTCCACGGTCATCCTCGCCGTCGCCAACTTTCTTATATCAACTTCGACGTCGTCTCCGTCCTTTCCCTTTTTGGTAGTCTTGACGTGCCGCGTTAAAGCTTATGTAATGATCTGCTTGCCGCTTTAAGCCAACCTTCCAACGACTTCAAGAAAAAAAAAGACGAAGAAGAAGAAGAAGAAGAAGAAGACGGCAGAAGACGACAAGGAAAGACGATAGAAGACAAGACGCAGGATGGAAGACGAAGACAGGTTGATGCTCAGGACGGCATGGCTTCCTTCTTCTTGCTGCCCTTCTGTGCTTCCTACAGCTTACTTCGCCCTGACTTAAGAGCCCGCCTGCTAACGATCCCCCCCACAGCCTCAAACCACCATCTCCACCTCCGCCAGACAGTGACAAGAAGTTAGAAGTAACAGAGACGAGCAGACCTAGTGCCAGAGACAGTCGCCATGCTGCCGCCTTTGACCGTCGAGCAGATAGCTCGGCAGGCCGGCCAGTACGAGTTCGATCCCCAGGTGCCTCTTCGCTACTGGCTTCGCTCCGCCGGCTTGCTTGTCAAAGAGGTAGGCAGCCCTCCTCCCCCCCTGGCGCCATCAACCTATTCCACCTACCACCGCCTCTAACAGTGTTTACAACAGGCTCGAATATACGAACAAGAGGGCAACGACCAGCAGGCCTACCTCCTTCTCTTCAGACACGCCCAGCTCGTCCTCATCAACCTCACTGCCCACCCCGACGCCCGAGACCCAAAGAACAAACAAGGGCTCGCCGCCGCAAAGAAGGAAGTCCAGGCTTCACTCAACAAGCTGGAGATACTCAAACCCCGGATCCGCAGGCTATACGACCGATACCAGGAGCTCCAGCAGCGCAGTCAGGCTGAGAACCATGCTGCGGCCACTACCACTGCATCTACAATGGAGGATCACACCGCAACCACCTTCTCCGATCTAGATGCTACCATTCAAAGCGCAACCACAGTGCAAGACCCAGCGCTGGCAGGCCGACCAGAGGCACTGCAGGCTGCTGAAAACAGAGACTTTGCCGTCAGACTGGCCCAGAGCGAATTCAGGCGCAGAGCCTTTGCGCGTGGAGATGCCAGGCGGCCGTCATATGCCAGCTCCGAGGCCAGTGTTAGTACCGCCAACACCGCCAACACTACCAATACTGCCAAGATGGAAGGAGATGTGCTCGCAAGGAGGCTACAGGAGGTCAGATCCATGCTCAGCAGCGGCCTATCAAAGTCTAATACTGTTTCTTCTTCCTCTCCTACCTCGAGATCGCCCACTCTCATGCCTATAGAGCAGCATCTCTCCGGATACAGATACCCTTCTATCCCAAGACAGAGCTATCAACACCATCATACCAGTTCCCACTCTCCTATCCGTCCCCCAAAGATCGAACAGGCACCACCAGTCCCAGGAAAGACACCAGCCATACCCGCTAAGATACCCGACTCTGACATCACCTCCTCCTCCTCCTCCTCCACCGCTGCATTAACTACTTCTCTTCTTCCCCCACTACCAAGCAAAGTACCCCCCTTACCTCCCAGGGCAGGCTCAGTAACTCCTTCGCCCTCACACACCCCTACTCACTCACGCTCCAACACCCGCACCCTTCTCTCTTCTCCTCCAAAGCTACCATCCAAACAACCTCCCACCCCAGACACAGAGAAGGACATCCTCCACCCCTCAACATTCACCTTCAAACCATCCTCCTACCTCGAAAATGGTACTCCTCTCCGCACAATCTTCATCTCTCCTGATCTACGTACCCAATTCCTCTCCCTCGCCGCCCCCAACACTGCCGCTAACCTAGAGACATGCGGCATCCTAGCGGGCACCCTCATATCAAACGCATTTTTTATTTCGCGGCTTATCATCCCAGAGCAAGAATCTACCCCAGATACATGCGAAATGCTCAATGAGGCTGCTATATTCGAGTACTGCGAGGCAGAAGATCTCATGGTTCTAGGCTGGATCCACACTCACCCGACACAAACTTGTTTCATGAGTTCAAGAGACCTGCATACCCAGTCCGGCTATCAAGTAATGCTGTCAGAAAGTATTGCCATTGTCTGTGCACCCAGCCACGAGCCGAGCTGGGGTGTTTTTCGATTGACGGACCCCCCGGGCCTGAAGTCAGTGTTGAACTGTACTCGGCCTGGCTTGTTCCACCCCCACGACGAGACAAATATATATACCGACGCCCTGCGGCCAGGACATGTGTTTGAAGCGAAAGGTCTAGATTTTGAGACTGTTGACTTACGACCATCGACATCGTCACAGAAATGATTCTTTCTTTTTTCTTTTCACATCTCAATTCCTTACTTCATTATGCGTGTATTCATTAATAATAATAATAGACCTTGCTTTCACAGCTTTCAACAAAAAAAACCATACCAAGTCTATGCTTTGACCGCCCCTTGCCTCCCTGCTATAACACCTTTCAATGCATAATCTACAAGGCATGATGATCCAGAGCCAGCCTAATTAGCAAGACCAGTCACGCCCGTCTTCTCCAGGATCTCTGTCAGCTTCATTCCGCGCTTATCCCCCAGTAGACGGCCCCACACATGGTCCTCAACTGTATCCTCGTCCTCCAACACGCTCCAGTTCGGACTAGGCCCAGGCTTCAACCAATTGAAATCTTCTACAAGAGACCATTTATCTGCTTGCTTTCCGTTCTGGGCAGACTATCGTCATTAGCACACATAACCAACCAAAATATACACACAACACAACATAAATAAGAAGCAGAAAGTAGAATGTAGAGGAAAAGCATAACGCACCGAGCCGGAAGTACTCACGAACGCCTCTGGGAGCGGACTAAACTTGATATCCACACATCCCTCTATAATCGGGTTTGTGGCACAGCTCAAATAAACAACTACGTTATTGCAATCGTGCATTCGGAATTGATGGCATGTGACCACCACCACCGAGTCAATAACATCACTAATGAACGCTGGCCCGTCGACCTTGCCGAATATCGCTAGACTATCACACGAGTCGCGGAATATACAGGTGGAAAACGACCGGCCCAGCTCGGGAATCGACGACATATCGATGACAGATTTCTGGACACTGCTTACGGAGAGGGATGCGTTCCGCAGAGGGGCTGAGCTAGGTAAGGTGGCATGTGAGTTTTCGATATCGCTGAATGATATCACTTGTGCAGCTGGTAGTTGTGATTCAGATCGTTGCGGTTGGAGCTGCTCTTTCTCCTCCTGCTGCTGCTTCTCCTGTTCCTTTACTGCTTGCTCCTCCTGCTGTGTTTCTTTCTTCCCTTCGTCCACTGCCGTCAATGGTTCAGGTTCCATGTTGTCAGTAACTTTTTCGTGACTGACTAAGGCAACGCGTGTGGTTGGTTCCGGACTTGGGTTCGGAGCCGTTGTTTGAGGTGTTTCGGGGGTATCTTGCATCACTTCATCAGTCGTGTTCAGGACAGGAGTGGGTTGGCGGGACCGCTTGAACGCGAATCGTTTGCGCGGAGCAATTGCCTCCTTTGCATCGGCGAATTTTTCCTGAAGCGCCTTTATAGCCTATTACATCGTGAATACACCCTGAGTATTAGCTCTCACACGATGAAGATATTTGTATTAACGGTTTGATTCCTAGCAACATACCGAGGCGTATGCCCGCTGATCGTAACTGGGTATATAAGTGGATGCATCTTTGACTTCATCTGACAACCGTGAAATGTCCGCCAAACAATAATCAGCAGCACTGGCTTGTTCACCCCCTGCTGTAGGCGTGGTGTGAAGCTTGGTGATTCTTGCTTCTACCTCTGTACAAATAGAAAGTTTAGTTCACTGATGGCGAATATTAAGAAATCAATGGTTCTAGTTTGACGTACTAGTCACTTCCTCCTGGAAATACCTGAAGAATTTGTCGTTTGTGGATTGCTCTGGTTTGTTGTGGTCAGTGGCGTCTCCGCCAGCGTCCTGGACAAGGCATCCCTCTTCCGTATCCTTTGATAGCATTGCTGATGGTATCTATAATACTGTTGGATATATCCAATGGGCTTACACGCGTGGGTCGTGCGCACAGATTGTGTGTTATTGTGACGGCAAGCCAAGGGGGCAACAGCTGGTATATGGGTGAAAAAATTTGACTTCGAGTAACTACGTCATAGGCCAAATCCCAGTCCTATTCAGCACCGAAGCTAGTATGCAGTGATCGTAAAATCCCTTGAGAGGCGTTTATTCAATGGAAATATACTGTCCTTTGGGTATCGGTAGTGAACTGTAGTCAGAAATGCTCAGGGGTCGAGGTTGCTCTTTCACAGCTCTGGCAAAAGGAAAGACTTCGACGTTTCTTTCTGCGCAAGAGCCCCACTTTGGATGGTGACGCAGGGGCCAGGTAGACAGCGTCTAAATAAGGTTATTACTAATCACGCTTTGTTTTTCTCGTTTGACTTGAACTTCATCTAAGCAAGCACAGAGTACGTCGAGGGAGATAAGAGCAGAGAGAGTAATGCCAGTAGAATACATTATCGTGAATATCAAGACAAACGCGTCTGTTCTACAGAGCTATGTGTACATCCTCAAAACAGACCTCAGCGCCCATTCACCGTACAATTTATAAAACAAGGTTCAAGATATCAAACGACTGACCGAAACGAGAGGACTCCAGGGTATCATGATGCAACAAAGGAAAATGTCTATAGCGAGCAGTATGTGATCAGAGATGAAATGAAAAAAAATGACTGAAAGCAAATGAATCCGGCTGGAAAAGCAGGGGACGAGGTGTGACGTATGTATAAATGGGAAATTATTAAACAGTGTATATGAGACAAGAGGATATTGTTTGAAAGAAGAGAAAATGTAGTGTCTCCTACTCCTCGAGTAAGGATTCCTGTAGCAGGTCGTGATTGAGGTTTTCTGGATGAAGTGACACTGGCGCGGGGGGAGGAGGGCGTAGGCCAAGTATAGGGCCGCTCTGGTTAACGCCTGGCGGTCTTGGCACCAAAGACCCTACTGTCAGTGAAGAAGCGGTGCTGCCCGGTTCATCCACCGTGTTTGTGGACCACTTTTCTCGAACCCAGCTGCCCATGCGCTTTCTAATGCCAATAGCTCGAGCAGATGCTCCGGTCTTTGAGGGTACGGTAGACTCTGACGATGCCGAAATGGTGGAAGCGGCATCGCTGTGGATTTGAGAGGCACTGTCAGATACAACACGGAGACTTCCTCTCGTATTGGAGGATACCACAGAAGTAAGTAAGGAAACCGAAGTTTGCTCTCCAGTCAAAGATGCTTTGGGTACAATCGCATTTGTCTTTGATATTATTGGCGAGGGAGATGGCAACATGATGCTGGTATTCGAGACGCGCTTTGGAGGTCTTGGGAAGAAACTTGGATTGCCTCGTAAGGCTAAGGCGGGGTGTTTGCTTGTCGTATGTAAATCCATGCCAGAGACGGACAAAAGACTCTCATGGGAATTAGATCGATGAAGTTGACGAGAAATTTTGGGTGACTGAATCGGGGTACTGGTATGGAATTCCAGAGCATCACCAAGCGGCTGAATAGATAAGTTAAGGTTTTGCGTCACTTCATCACCAGGTCCACTAGGTGAATCATTGCACTTCGATGAGCCAATGCCTTCGCCGTCATGCTCTCGTTGCGAGTTACGTCCTTTCTCAACAATACCGTTTTCTGCTCCATTGCACTCGACCGGTTGGTTCACATCGTTGTCAGGCTGTGTACCAGCTAGCCCTTCAACTGAGAGCAGAGACGATTCAGCCTTATCTAGCTCGTCAGTTTCATTAATAGAGCGGAAAGAGGCATCTGAAAGTCGCGGACGATGGCTCTGTTTGTTGTATCGGGGAGGCGAAAATATTACGCTCTCTGGACTAGTGGGACGCGACGATTCAAAGCCCGAATCGTGGCGGTCAAAGATAGACGACGATCTATACCCGGAAAGCGGTGAGCTGGGTATCGAGGACAGGGCAGACCCTGCTCCTGGTAGTGAAGATGAAGCCTGGGAAAATGCGCTAGCAACGGATGATGCTGAGTTGGTAGGCCTGTGCATGGCCTGTGACATTGGGATTGCCCGAGAGGGATTTTCGTGGAGAGTTGGGGGTAAGACGGGACGTCTTTTCCGTTGGCGCCGGTGTATGGGGGTAGATTTTTCCTTTCTCGAGGGTGTTGAAATTGGATTATGGAAATGATGGTGAACATGAATTTCCTGTGGCATTTGATCCGGTATCTTGTCTTCATCAAGTTCCTCGCTGAGGGAAACGAGATTGCCGTATGTATGCTCTTCACTCGGGACAGGGTCAAGAGGCTGATGAAGTAGAAGTTGTTCGCGTAGATATTTGACGTCCTCGTTGGAATTATGAAGCATCTCCTTCAACTCAGTAACACATTGTTGGAGACTTGCATTGTCCTTCAATATGTCCCGTACAAAATGAGAGACCACATTCGTCCCGGTTCCGTTCCGCGATAGCGAAGCAGTAGCCGCGGCACCTTTGATCCGACCGGCAGCCGTATCCAGCTCTCTTTCCACCATACGTCTCCTTTCTAGCCTTCCGATAAGCTCGACATGTCGCTCACGCTCTTTTCGAGCTTCCCTCTCTATCCGATCTACTTGATCATGAAGATCCCCGAGCGCACACTCAGCTTTCCTCCATCTTTGGATTGCCACACTCTCACTTTCTTGGGTCAGGATGAGAGTATCCTCCAGCTTGGCCTGCTCGTTCTCGAGCTGAAGTAGTTGCTCCTCCAACTGCTCAACACGTTTGGTAGAAGATGATAATCGCCTGACTTCCAACTGGGTACTCTGCAACGTAGTGGTCAAGGTTCTAACCTGCGCATCCGACTCTATCAGCAGCTGGTTCAACTTTTCCAGCTGGTCGAGCAGGCCACGGTTCTCTTCCACGATCCGCGCATTTTCGGCTTCGGTCTCTTTCTTGCTCGTTTGCAGTTTCTCCATCTCTGCGGTCATCCGGTCCCGAGTGCTCTCAGCTTCGATTTTGTAGGATTCATGACGGTCAAGTAGGGCCTATATACAACCGAAAACGGGAGGAAATGTTAGCAGGGATCCAATATATCTAAATATTCAGACTTCAGAGGAGTGTAGGGTTGATATATATTTCGAGTGGCCAAAAATGATTCGTCCAACAGGGCCAACAAGGCAGCCTGCATGCGTACCTGACCAAGCCGTGCAGCAGTTTCCACATCCCGTTCCAACTCAGCCAGAGCAGCTGAATTATGCTCAAGATACGCACAGTCACCCCTCCCACAACAACATTCTAATTTCGACGCAGGCATCTTGGAACGCGGGAGCGTTCATGAAAATCAAGCAAGGCTCTTCGTATCAGGGGCGAAGCTGAGGTCTCGGCCTACTAGCATTTCGCGAGGGAGCTAGCCGTACGGTGGAGAAGCCCGAAGGAGAGTCGATACCACCAGAGTAGAGGTGAGATACCGGTTCTCTCTCTTCCCCAGAGTCACTAGTCGAGGGTGTTGTCGGTGATTCTTGCTTCCACGTCCACGCTGGTCAACTTTCTTCTCTCTTGCGGGCGGATGATGAAATGGTGTCAGGTGCAAGCCAATAATGGGAATAATAGTGGTGGCGGGGGAAAGGCCCTCGGGACAACGCGTAAACGACCAGTAAGGGCGTCGAGCTCCGTGTCGATGTGCCAGGCGAAAAGGAGGCTAAGGGATCTGCGTCAATAATAGTGAAGTCGCTATAACTATCATCAGCTCCGTCAAAGGCTCTTCTTACATGTGCTGCGTCTCATCGGCTATCCCTGTCTGGCCCAGAGAGCGTGCTCGTGGGCCGACGATTTACGGTTACAGCGTGCTACGTATGCTCAATATTAGAGCTAAATCAAGCAGATACCAATATTTAGTATGTGATATGCGCATTTCACCATTGTCTGCGACGGTATGAGCGATTTGTCCGCCTCGTATTGCCGTGTCTTTTTGATTACTCAATCGGCGTTGGAAAAAACCGAGTCTCATATGTAGCCGTGGCTTGAATGTGAGAGAGCATACGGAGTGTCATTCCCTGCGTTAGCAAGCTCATCGTATATCCCAGTGGGAAAAGAGTAGTCGGGACGTATACATGTGTACCCAGTGCCCGATGACCATTGAACAGCAGTCGTAAATGTGACAGAGGCTGGATCTCTTATTCTATGTATACAATGTCTAAGTGGAGATTAGATATCAGTTGGGAGTCGGTATCCCAATGTCACTGTGGTATGAGGGATCGTTGATAGCACAGGGCCCGAAACTATGTCAATGTGGCTCCTTCGAGTCCGTTGGGAACGAGCGCAGAGAGTGAGTCAATGCTCTTGCCCGTCAACTCGACTAGTTATCGATCCATCTGATATGAGCGGGCGTTGTGGAACAGAGACCAGCTCGAAGGACTGAGAAGATCTAGCATGCTATTTATTCTCACATCCTGTTGTATCTCGCAATGTACCCGGGAGGAGTGATCCGGAGAGGATCTATGTCGCTAGAATCCTATGTCTGCTGGTTTGCGCCCTTATTTCCGGTTATATTAAGCGGCGGAACACTGTCTGAGACGCTTTGAATCTTCTTATACTCCTCCTCAAGGCGTCTCTGCATCTCGAAATCAGCCTGTCGTTCTCGTTTGATTCGCTGCTGCTCCATATCTCGCTCAACCCCGGCATGCATTGCCTATCGGAGAGAATATTAGCCGCTTCCTCAGCCTTCAAGACAGCAGAGAACAGTCTCCCTCCTCCTTACCAATCGTTCCGATTCTTGTGACCAATGAACGAAGTAGACAATGCCCGCGGTCACAAGGGAGGTGACTCCAAGGGTGACCTTCGAAGCTCGAGACATGGTTCCTCTTCTTGTCCGGAGCCCCGTAACAGTGGAGGGAGCCCAAAGGAAGCTGGAGGCTTTGAGGCGGAGCTCGTTGAAGGGGCAAAGGAGCTTGCTCTGTCGTCACTGCACTCGACGTAAACTTGCAGACTGCAGCAACTCGGGTTTTTTGTCCAGGAACCCTTGAAGCAGTCACGTGGGCTGTCAGCTAGTGTTGGCCCGGGCGCTAGTTAGAGCGTGGTTTTAAAGCGGGAAGGGTGAGCCCCGTCATCAATAATGACGGCACTCCAGGACCATTCCCCTCCAGAAAGACAGACCGACGAGACACAACATGGTAAGAGAACTTGCTGGTAGATGTTCCCGAGAACCAAAAAACAGAAGCTGACAATGGATGTTGTAGGCTGCACAAAACTCCGCCGGAATCCAGACCCTCCTCGATGTATGATTGCCTGCCCACCATACACACCGGAAACATCACCAGCTAACATGAGATGGATAGGCGGAAAGGGAAGCTCAGAAGATAGTTCAGACTGGTATGTCTCCCACTACGGCTGTCGACCCTGCATGTAACTCTCACTAACTTCTCCTCTAGCTAGAGAATGTCAGTTGGCCCTTCGTCATACCTCATCTCGTAATCTGCAATAGGCTCCCTAACTTCCTCTCCACTTAGACCGCACGAAGCGCATAAAGGACGCCAAGACAGAAGCGCAGAAGGAGATTGAAGACTACAAGAAACAAAAGGAAGAGGAATTCCGAAAATTCGAAGCTGAGGTAAATACTCTCGTTTCTGGAGTGGTAGACGATGAGGCGAGAGACGAGCGGACTATGCTGACACTATCTCTGTTTCTCTCTAGCACTCGAGCGGAAACCAGAAAGCCGAAAGTGACGCAAACAAAGATGCAGAGGCCCAGCTCCTTGAAATCAAGAAATCCGGGAAAGATAAGGGCAACAAGGTCGTCGAAGATCTCATCAAGACTGTCCTAGATGTCAACCCCCAGGTCCCAGAGAAGCTAGCTAAGAAAGCTTAAATTACGCTCAGTGACTTGTTCTATGTTTAACGGCTCGGTTGAGACTTGACATTCTTCTTCCTGTGTTCGGGGTCTTCATGCTTTTATATACTGGTAATCATATGCTGTTTGTCGAAAGCTCAAGGAATTTCATAATCGTTTGTGGTAGGCATGAAGATTTTTAGGGATGTGGTTCTGTGCAATTTGCATGTAGCTGTGAATAGAGAAATAGACAGCTTTTACAGCTGACTACATGATTTGACTTTTGCGCTGCTCCAAGTACCTAGTAGCATCCATCACATGAAAGTTTCAACTTGTTTATTTAACTCCATCAATTAGCAAGATAAAATATTTCACACTTATCAAGATAACCAGCCTCCTGTATGCTTTGACCGAATACTTTTAACTACAAGCGTTGTCCACGTCTCATTCTTGCTGGCAACTTCATCACATCATAGGCTAATCAGCCACCACCACCACCTTCATTTGACAGGAGTCATGAAAACAACAAAACTATTGGGCCACCATTCATATACGAAAGCCCAAAAATCCTTATTCTATTTGTCACGGCCCCAGAAATCCCGTCGATTCAGCTTCTTTAACCCAGACCGGACGAGTCGATTGCTGGATCGCCGTCTTGCTGGACTTGGCCACCTCATTAAAGACGAATATGCTAATATCCGAGATTCATACTGTGAGTGCTCAAAAGAAATTATACCCCCCCCCCTTCAAGGCATGATATCCACGTACCTTAGACCTCTGACTGGTAGACGCTGCACGAATGCCTGATTTTCATGTGAGGCAGTGAAACCAAAGCATCCTATAGTATTAGCACACGGTCTTCTAGGTTTTGACGAACTTCGAATCGCAAAACGAGCTTTGCCGGCCATACATTACTGGAGAGGGATCAAAGATGCCTACTCTATTAATGGTGTGGAGGTCATCACTGCTCCTGTGTCTCCGTCTGCTTCCATTGAACAGCGGGCAGAAGAGCTGTTGCAAGGAATTGAAAACAGGGCGGAAGGCAGAAAGGTTAATATTATTGCGTGAGTCCTCTTACATACTAGTTCCTTCGTCTTATCCAATATACTAATTAAGCTGGCTGTGCAGGCATAGCATGGTATGTTCTTCTAATACCTACTTGAGAGATCATAGGCTCACCATCTTCGTCAGGGGTACGATATCTACTACAGCCTTTACTGCGTACAGCTCAAATTAACCCATTGACTTCACGTTAAGGGGACTAGATGCCAGGTATATGATCAGTAAACTACGGCCAACGACATTCGAAGTCGTCTCATTGACAACCATAGCCACACCCCACCGAGGTCAGTATATATGCTACTTTTGCATCATATATCCGTGACCATCTGATTAATAAATTTCATCCAGGCTCAGCTGTAGCCGACTATATTCTTGAATGGCTAGGCGGTCCGTTACAACCAATTTTTCTTGAGGTGCAGCAGCTTACCAGTAGTAGAGGAACGTCTTTCCCAGCTTTACTTTATACTTGGCCGCCTAGGGCTGGAAAATGGAGCATTCAAGCAACTCACCCGGGAATATCTCGCCCACACATTCAACCCCGACGTTATGAATGCGGACGATGTCAGGTATAAGCTAACTAATGCGGTGCCAAATGCTTCTCCAGTTCAAGTTGCTAATATAAACCTAGGTATTATTCGTATGGAGCCGTATTATCGCCGGATACCTGGTCGATGTTTAGCCAATCACGGAGGATACTAGACAACGAGGAAGGCCCGAACGATGGCCTCGTGAGCGTTGCAAGTAGCAAATGGGGTTGCTACAAAGGTACGCTAGTTGACGTCAGTCATATTGACTTAATCAATTGGACAAATCGCCTCAAGTGGTTTGCTGCGGAGATAACTGGAAATAGAAAGAAGTAAGTCACATGGTACCCCAAATGTGTTATCAGTGGGTAACCGATCTCTGGTGGTTAAATAGGTTCAATGCTGTGGCATTTTATCTGGACATCGCGGGTAAGTCATTTGCTGGAAGGTCCTGGCTGCGGGTGATCGAGGTCTGATGCAATACTAATCGGAATTAGACATGCTCGCAAAAGAAGGTTTATAGCTGGTGAGTTACCAGCGAATAGATGCATGGTGTAAGTAGGGTGGGGTTATAGGACTGGCCTTGGAGATACTGGTTTTGTGTCGAGCTTGCATAGAATAATATATCATATCATGTATATAATTTGTAAGAAAATCAGATTATTAATTGGCAATGGTAGAACATCATTAGTGCATTTCATAGCAAATTACGTCGCATAAATGAGGATATGCCGACGGGAGCCCCCAATAAATTGGAGTCGCTGTCTATATGTTACTGGACTTTCATTGGCCAATTAAGCGCACTAAATGATTTTTATGTCACGTGATCTCGCGTTTATTGATATGACGCGAATGTCTGCGACATTCGACAAAAACCATCATTGAGCAAAGACTTTTAAATTTCAGTATCATGTCGAATAGTGATGGTTACAGTTTTGTCAGATTCCGATGAACCTCCCTGTGCGGATACAGACCCTTCCCTTCTCTCTGAAAGCCCGCGGCCAGCAAAACGACGACGCGTCTATAACCCTCCCGCCTCCTCTCCCACAGGTATAAGTAGCCAAGCCGAGGAGGCGGAAGAAGAGGAGACAGGGGAGGATAGTTTGGACGATGATGATGATGGAATTAGCATAGGATCAAATAATGAAACGGAAGAAGAATCAGAGGATGGGCTTCCGCCTCAAAGGGCACAAATACCAAAAACTAGGGGGGAAGCCCCAAAGCAGCAGGCGAACAATTTAAAAGTATATCAACCGAAATACTATACAAACCAAGAACCGGTCTTTGTTACTCAGTTGACACAACCATCTTCGAGTCCTTCAAGGATCCGTGGGCCGCGATGGAAAAAACCTCAGCCACAGCAACACAATCCAAGCCCGCCGAGACCACCACCTCCTACACATTCTCCTTGTCCTCCTATATACCCTCCTCGACAACAATTAAATGGAGATTCTAGCAATCTGCAAAACGCTGAAGGCTCTGATGAAGATATGAAGGCGGCCATACGCGAATCCCTTAAATCACTACGAGAGGAGACATCTGTTCGTGGGACAAAAATAAGGAACCGGATTGCTAATAACCCCGTAGAAAAAACGGGCGATGTTTCCTCTTTACCACCAGCAGCGGGAAACAGCCCGGGCTTGACTGCACTAGCTTTGGATTTTGACCCTGATGATATCCCTGATGTGTTTGGTTCTTCACCCATATCTTCCCCTCGACAGACTCCCACAAATGAGCGCGTTACTAGTCAATCTCAGACCGGGCTTCAAACCTCACAAAGAAGACAAACAAACTCTCAACCAAAAAGCCTTCGCCAGACCACATTATTTGGCGGAATTGCAAGCAACCAATCCCCATCTCAATCGGCGACCTCCAGGAACTGGCCTTTAGCCACCCAAAACGAGGTTCCAACACATCATGCGCTTAATTCAGAAGCCCTGGAGACGTGGACGTATCCAATGAACTTGGGGAGAAAACGTGATTATCAGTTTAATATTTCCTACCGCGGTCTGTTTCATAACCTTCTTGTTGCCCTACCCACTGGTCTTGGAAAGACGTTCATTGCTGCGACTGTGATGCTTAACTGGTTTAGATGGACAAAATTTGCTCAGATTGTGTTTGTCGCTCCAACTAAGCCACTTGTTGCGCAGCAAGTTGATGCATGTTTTAATATTGTTGGAATTCCCCGGTCCCAAACCACAATGCTTACAGGAAATGTGCCACCTGGCTTAAGAGCGACAGAATGGGAATCGAAGCGTGTCTTTTTCATGACACCTCAGACCCTTATTAATGACCTCAAGAGCGGCATTGCTGACCCAAAGCGAATTGTGCTATTAGTTGTTGATGAGGCGCATCGTGCCACAGGTGCATACGTATACGTTGAAGTTGTCAAGTTTATTCAACGATTTAATACTAGCTTCAGAGTCCTGGCGTTAACCGCGACTCCGGGCTCAAAAGTTGAGACGGTCCAGGAAGTAATTGACGGGTTGAACATTTCAAGAGTCGAAATACGCACTGAAGCCTCTCTGGATATCCGTGAATATGTACATGCTAAAAACGTGGAGACCATCTCTTTCTCTAACTCTGACGATATGAAGCTTTGCATGGATCAATTTTCAAAAGCATTGAAGCCCGTTGTTGAGAAACTTCGTAACATCAATGCATATTGGGGAGATGACCCCATGTCCCTTACTCCTTTTGGGTTAACTGAGGCTAGAAAAAAGTGGATTATGTCGCCAGCAGGTAGAACAGCTAACTGGGGTTTGAAAGCAATGGTCAATAGCATATTCACAGTCCTGGCTAGCCTAGCTCATGCCATCGAGCTTCTCAAATACCACGGAGTTGGACCGTTTTATCGTAACTTGGTGTCGTTTCGTGATGGCCCCACGGATGGAAGTCAAGGGAAAGGAGGAAAATATGGTCGACAGATCATGGATGATGCGAATTTTAAATCAATGATGACTACGTTAAGGTCAAAAATGACTGATGCGGAGTTCATTGGCCATCCCAAGTTGGAATACCTCAAACGAGTTATTTTGAACCACTTTTTGGACGCAGATACCAACAGCCACACGGCTGATTCACGAAAGACACGAGTGATGGTGTTTAGCCATTTTCGTGACAGTGCAGAGGAAATTGTCCGGGTTCTCAAAAAACACGCTCCAATAATCCTGCCACATGTTTTCGTAGGCCAGGCAAGTGCCAAAGGCTCCGAAGGCATGGACCAGAAGAAACAACTAGAAATTATTAAGAAATTCAAAGAAGGAACGTATAACACCATCGTTGCCACTTCTATTGGAGAGGAAGGCCTTGATATTGGAGAAGTTGATCTTATCATATGTTACGATTCTTCAGCGTCGCCTATTCGTATGTTGCAGAGAATGGGGAGAACCGGAAGAAAACGTATGGGCAAGGTTGTTCTCTTGCTTATGGAAGGCAAAGAGGAGGAAAAGTACTTCAGGGCAAAGGATAACTACGAGAAGATGCAACAAATCATTGCTTCTGGATCTCACTTTACATTCCATGAGGACAAATCTCCTCGCATTATTCCCCGTGATATCCAGCCAAGAGTAGATGAGAAATGCATTGAAATACCCATAGAGAACTCCCAGGCGGAGCTACCGGTGCCTAAAAAACGTGGCCGCATACCGAAGCGACCACCAAAGAAATTTCACATGCCCGACGGGGTTCAAACAGGCTTCACGAACGCCCTAACATTGACCAGTGCTGATAAGAAACCTAAAAAGCGGAAGAATTTACCTGAACATCGAGAACCGAGCCCAGAGCTTGCAGAACTCCCGCCCTTGAACAAGGTTACTCTTACTCCAGATCAAACTCTCCAACTGAGACGGAATTTTCAGACCGTGGCTGGAACGTCACCACAGGTCATGCGCTTCCCTCGAGTTGACGCTTATCCAGTTCTTCAAAGATTCTGTCGGCCCACTGTAGATGTGCCGCATGGGACCCTGACCCGCAACCTAACAAAGGCGGTCCGTGAAATGTCGGAATTTGGTATTGATTGTGATGAAAAATACGAGACTTACCTTCCTGACATTCATAACTGGGAACCCGACGAAAAAGTGCCCTCACCTATTTCCGATGATGGCCATGAACAAGATTCTTCTATTGATAAACTAGGCAATGGCATGGTTACGAAGACATCCGATCGGCAGCAGAGAACACGGCAGGACGGTCAATCTGAGCGCGGGCTTTCATTGATGTGTACCCAGGCCTCCGGCTCGTTCGGTTTAAACAATGATAACATAAATCCACCTGAACATAGCGCTGATGATGATTTCCCGGACATTGATCAGTTATTTGCTGAATCATTTGCTAGCAACGATCCCTTTGCTCGAAAATCCGCTGCTAAGACGGCAGGGGATGTGGTTCCTGTTGGGGAGACAAACGAAGATGTTGCTCATATTCTTAGTGATTATAGCGGGTTTTCTAGTGATTTCTAGACACTATATAATTACTTACCACCTGCTCTTTGGCGTTTAGGTAGAAGTGATAAAGGACATGACTTTTGCATATAATATATTAAAACGTTACTTATCTTCATTTCGAGAACGTAGCCGTGGCGCGTGGAAATACTGTGGACAACGTTAAGTTTAATGACTTCTTGCCACGCACCTAGCCAGCTAGGTTCGTCATCTTTATTTACTTCATCTCGGTATTACCTCCTCAGACATCAAACTCCTAGACCAACCCGAAATCCGGAACGTTCTGTTTCTTTCTCCTTCCAGAACCATGGCAGACACACAGTTTGATAGTGCCTTGTAAGCCACTCGTCCCTCTCCTGCTCTTCAATCTGTCGCTAGGCCCCCCTCCCCCACTTAACAGGAAAGGCATCCCCAGTGTATTCGCCAGGGGGTATCAACCTAGGACCTCCAGATGTGCAAAATATCTGATAATAGGTACTTGAAAACAGAGACCTTCTTCGCCGTCTATCCCCTAGAAATACAAAGGAAAATCTACATAACATCACCACACTGGTTCCCGACTTGACCGAGGACCTCCTTGCATCCGTGGACCAACCCCTCGAAGTCCGACGATGCCCCCGATCAAAGCGTGACTACTTGCTTTGTGACTACAACCGTGACGGAGACAGCTACCGAAGCCCGTGGAGTAACGAATTTGACCCCCCAATTGAAGATGGAACAGTACCGAGTGAACGGGTGAGAAAACTGGAAATTGAAACGAACAAGGCATTTGATATTTACCGGGATCTTTACTACGATGGCGGAGTTGGTAGTGTTTATTTCTGGGACCTTGATGACGGTTTTGCTGGTGTGGTGTTGCTGAAAAAAGGTATTTCATCTCACCTATTAAGTTGCTCGTCATGAACTGACTCGGTGTAGGGATCACCCCTGGCTCCAAGAATTCTGGCGCCTGGGATAGTATCCATGTTTTTGAGGCTACTGATCGCGGACGAACGTGTCACTATAAGCTGACAAGCACAGTTATCCTCCATCTGTCAACCGGTTCAGACACCCTTGGGGAGATGGACCTGAGCGGCAATATGACGAGACAGATCGAGTCGGATATGGCCGTGAACGGTGATGAGAGCCACGTAGCAAACGTGGGACGTCTGGTTGAAGACATGGAGTTCAAAATGAGAAACTTGCTACGTATGATTACGCAGAATTCACGTTTCCCCGTCACCTATATAATGATGCTAACGACAGTTCTCTTCTTAGAGGAGGTTTATTTTGGTAAAGCGAAGGACGTTGTTTCTGAGCTTAGAAGTGAGTATATAACCAGATGTTTGCCTTAGTATTACTATAGTGAATACTAACTTGCCAAATTTAAGGTCTACAACCGCTGTCCGAGACAAACGAAGAGAAGTCCGCCCACCGTAATGTTATCAATGCTATGATGAAATAGAAGGTCATTCGTAGTATCGGACCTTGGGACCAGATTTTCGGAAGCGGAAATCCCTACCACCTTGCCATTCCTGTAAATAGACACGAAATATATGGTAAATGTGAACTCGACAACGATAAATGTTCTCCTTCGCTCTAACTATTCGTATTGCCGGAGTACATTCACATACCCACGGAGGCGGCTTTTCTCCTTTGCGTAGGAGCTAGATGATCCGAACAAATCATAAACAATCGAACACTGCAGCTCCAATCGACCTCCCATATTATTGATCTGTCTCATTGAAGTTTGATATGCGATTGTTCTCTCTCTCTCTCTCTTGAGTAGTAAGCATAACGTGGCAGTTAAGGTAGGCACGCATTGCTACAGTTAGCAAGGACTTTCTTCACGGCGGCAATAAAGTGCAAAAGAAGTTTTCTGTTAGAGAGGCTCCGTCATTGGGGGCAAATGGGTGTTGTGCCTGCTCTTAGAAATATGATGATGGTCAATTATCAGACATTATCAGTCCACGTCCATGGCCTGTTTCCCGCCTGCATCAGCCTGAGCCGCGGATGAATCAGGGTTCTCATTCCCTTTTTTAGAGGTAACACTTTTCATAAAACGGCTAGCTTCCGCCCACAGTTCCGCCTCCTTGTCTTTTCCGACTGTATCCTTTCGGCTGTTCAGCCAGCTCGTTTCAAGAGGATTGACAGTCCCGGGTGACAACTGGGTAGTTGCACCTGCCCCGGCGACCATGCTATCCCCTGCTTTAAGGGAGATAGTGGGTTCAGCACGAATTATCGAGGCTTCCTCTAGAGCATAGACTTGTCGGCGTAGTTTGACGTCAACTGACGAAACAAGAGCAAAGTACTGAGAGCACGCAGTTTTGAAAGCCTTTTTACGGGAATCAAGAGACGCGTCTGTAGTCGAACTACTTGTCTCTAAGTCTCCTTGGGATAGTGACGCGTTGTTGGTGAGAGACTGGATCGCAAGTCCGGCAGCCTGCAGTATCTGGGCTACATCCTATATCCAAAGTCAATGTTAAGCACGCATGCGCCAGTGACCACCACACGCACCTTATCAACCTCATTTAATTCATTTATTCGATCAGCAGGGCTAAAGACTGCTTTCTCCGACTCCATCTTTACTGCCTCGCTCTCAAGTTCTCATCTCCCCCTTTGGATTAATTGTGTCCTCTCTCATCATCAAATCGGAGGTTAAGAGTAGCTGCTTATGTAATATAAATGCGTATATGTCACGTGATATAACTGCGGCCACTTCGCGGTTTGTCGCAACTTCTAACCTTCATTTCTTTTATACACAGACAAGCAACCAATCCCTCGTACTCTCTTGTCGCATAGACATCTCAAATCCGTCACGACGATTCCACTGCCATGAGTCGTGTTCTAGCTTGCGAGGTTTTCGACTATCTGAGATTTTGACTTACTACATTACGATCCCTAATACCCACGTAATACAGAGAACGGATCGCCTTGACAAGATATCAAAAAATTTCCAATATGTCGGGACCTGCTGGAGCACCCAGCCCTGGCCCCAGGAGCGCCAGCACCGGCCCTGGTAATGGAGTTGCAATGCCGTCTCAACATCAGCAGCCTATATCCAGTGGACCTTCCTCTGGTGGTGCAACACCAGCTGTACCCAACAGACCCGGACCTGTATCCCAGCAGGATTTGAACCAGATTGTAAGTCAACTTTATGCTCATGTAGCTGGATGTACATGATTTTTCTTTTCTCTAGAACAGCAGAGTTTGCTGTACGTGGGTTTTTGCCTTTTCCCTTTTGCTTGTTCCTTCTTTTGGTTCTTTTGTTATGCTGCATTTTATATCTACATTTATATCCCAAATGCCTTGGCCTTTGATAAACACTCAAAATAAGTGTGACAATATCCATCTATATTTCAATTGTTGGTTGCCCCAAACCAGGACAATATATCCACTACCTTTAAACTGTTTGGTGGAGCTAGATCTAGCTTGTGCACTTCATGCTTTAAATGTCTCTTTAAAGGCACTATATCCCAAGCTAGAATTCTACTATTACTGCACCTCACCCTCAGTTGCCAAAGGTGGAAAAATGTATCCCCGTCTCCGTCTATCAATTTCACACCAGTTCCCCATGCCCTTTATCCTTTCCACAGACTCATCCCTTCTTGCTTGGGTTTCCTTCCTTTCTCTCATATTACCCAGGCATTGCAGCTGTCATACAAAGGACAATGGGGGGAAAGTGTCCAGTTGGATGGGAGCCAGCGGCTGGCTGGAGTTCGGAACCAGAGGAATCCAACCCGGAGGATGAGAAAGTTGCGCGTCTCAATCAAATCGTGGGTTCTGTGTCAAAGTGTTTGGCTGTTTTGTTATGTTTTGTCTTCGAATTATGCTTATGATTTATATTTTGTTGCATGAGATCAATGCTAATGAGTATCACTATAGGTCATTGACTATTTGGCGAAAAAGGGCTATAATCGAACCGAGGCCATTTTCCGAATGGAATCATCAAACCAAGAAATCGATGGGCGCCCTTTGTTGCCAGTCTCGACTGATACCCATCCAAAATTCAGAGCTGCCTTTGGTTTGTAGCCATCATCACTATTTGAATGCATGCCGAGACGCGACTAACTTGCAGGTAATTTGCAGAGATGACAAAGTTATGGGTCGAAGATAATTTGGAGATTTACAAGGTATTATTTCCTCTGATCACTATCTGGACTGTTTTCTAACCACCGGTACTCGTCCAGCCCGAACTTAGACGCGTTCTATGGCCCCTTTTTGTCTACTCCTATTTGAATCTCATCAAAGCTATGGCGCCATTGGAAGGCCGCCAGTTTTTTGAAGCAAACAAAAATTTGTTTCTTCCGGAGCACACAGACGATATTCGTGCACTGCAGACACTTGGGCTTCCTGAGCATGTTCAGGATAATAATATAGCTAAGCTATACCTCGACAACAAATACCGGCTCACTTTGAGCAACCCCGCTTTCTCCAATCTCATGCAATTCCTTGAAACTAAACATAAGGAGGGTGGAACGGTTATGTCGGCCTTGTTGAGCAGTTACTGTACCATCATTACAAAGGATCGTGCTTCTGATGACCGGTTCAGCTTTGGCGCAATGCTTGCCAGAGGCAAAGATTCAGCCGGCGTACCTGCTGAAGACGAAGGGATTCCAGGTCACCACCCCGGCTCTGCTTATACTGGTGACAATCCTGGAATAGCTGGAGCCCTTCCTCGACTCAAACTAGGACAGTTACCCCCAGAGGCCACATTAGAAGGAGATGTTCGTGGGGAGTTAGAGGAGGAAGACTCTAAAGAAGATCTTGGACCTGGAAAAGTAACCCTTGTCCAGCATTTTGACCAGATGATCAAGAAAGAAGAAGACCTTGATGCTCCTTCTCGCTCGGAAATCCCATACCCTCCTTCGACTGCACGTGATGTGGCTATGGAAGTTCAGAAAGTGAAAGAAAATCGTGACAGGTTTAAGATCGAAGGGCGAAGTGGAGGTGTTGCTCCTGGAGTTAGTGTCTGCATGTTTACTTTCCACAATGCAAACCAAGGGTATGTATCCGAGCCCGAGGACTAGGGTGACAAACCTGAGCTAATCATACGTTTTCTTTGTTTAGAATTACTTGCATGGATTTTTCTGGAGACAACGCTCTTGTAGCTGCCGGTATGCAAGACTCTTACATTCGCGTTTGGAGCCTGGATGGGCTCCCCATTCCTCCCACATACCCAGATTCGGACGATTCCACCCCAAAAAATTCTCACAGATTGTATGGCCATTCTGGTCCAGTTTATGCAGTGTCATTTGCTCCGTCCATAGCAAGTCCAGACGATGCAGAGGTGAAAACCAATGCTCGTTGGCTTCTTTCATCATCCGCGGACCAAACTATCCGTCTTTGGTCCCTTGATCTTTGGAGATGTATTGTTGTATACAAAGGCCATGCTGGCCCCGTCTGGAGCCTGTCATGGGGGCCATTCGGGCACTATTTCGTTTCTGGTGGTCATGACAAAACTGCAAGGCTCTGGGTTACCAACAAGATCCGACAGCAACGTATCTTTGTGGGACACGATCAAGATGTTGATTGCGTATGCTTCCACCCAAATTCTGCCTACGTATTCACAGCGAGCTCTGACCACACCGTTCGCATGTGGTCTGTAAGCACGGGGAATGCTGTTCGTATGTTTACCGGCCACACTGGGAACATCACTGCCGTATGCTGCAGCAACGATGGACGACTTCTTGCTTCTGCTGATGACCATGGGACTATCATTCTCTGGGATCTTGCCCCTGGAAAGCTTCTTAAGCGCATGCGTGGCCACGGAAAGGGTGGTATCTGGGCTTTATCTTGGAGTGCCGAATCCAACGTCCTTGTTTCCGGCGGCGCAGACGGTACAGTCCGTGTTTGGGATGTCGCAGGGCCCCCTAGTGAAGCTTCCACCGGACAAAGCCGCGTGCTCACAGAGTCGGGAGGTGGAACCAAAATCGACGCTTCAAATTCGACGAACGCAGCACCTAATCAATCAGCAGCAACAGCAGCATCTGTGACCGGAGCTCCAAAGTCAGGCACAGCCAAGGGAAGCTCTTCTAAGAAGAAAAAAGGAAAGGATGCGGTTGTTACTGCCGATCAGATCAGCGCATTCCCAACTAAGAAAACTCCAGTTTTTAATGTCACGTTCACCAGAATGAATCTAGTGATTGCGGGAGGAGCATATACTCCCTGAAACGACATTTACCGCTGACAATATCCTACTCTTTCTAAGGTGTTATGGGGCAGTGTTGTGATTTCAATGCCGGCGTTCAGGTAGAGCAAGGAATCCAAAGCAAGGGCGCTGGCATTAGTTGCGGTTAGGTCCACTGGCAGAATCAGTTAATTTCCATACGTTATTATCTTTCCAATACTGATACAGGATGAAGGCAAGTTTCAGCCGATTAATGCAATGTATTTCATACGATGAGTTGGTAACAACCTCCTATAACGTCTGGTATCTTTAAAAAATTATTATTATGATGTAGCACTTATATACCATCGACAATAACGATGCAAAAGTTCTCCGGTATGTCAGCAAATGGCAGGGGGATTTTAACGACTTTAGGTTGAAGATTTCATTTCTTAAGACCCCATTTTTGCGCGCTATCCTTGGAGGCTAACATATCGCTGACTTTGGGAGGGAGAACAAGGGCACTTCTGTCATTGCGTTTATAAAAGTCGACTAATATCTGTGCGGTTTTAACAGGCTGATCTTCATGGATAAAATGGCCAGCCTCAGGGAAAACTTGGAGTTGATATTTCCCTGTCATATCAAAGCATTAGTTTTTTAATACAGCAGAGTGTCAATGAAGTAAACTGCATACCCTGCATCTGTCCGATAATCAACTCCTTATCTAGTCTATCGGTTCCTGCCAAAAGAAGCAGTTTACCTCCACGAGCCTCTAGAAATTTCTTGCTGAGACCTGTGAACCAGTTTTCCCAAAAGGGTTTCGTCCTGGCAAGGTCTGTACGCCATTTCCAAGATGCGGCTACATGGGAGTCTATAGATGGTTCTTCGCGCAGAAGACCTTGGACTGATACTCGCGCGGAAGCTGTGTTGCGTATCGTGCGAGATCGAGTACTAGATCAACGTAAGAATTTGGGTTGAAGTAAATAAATAATATAACAGCATAAAGTGTCCAGAAACGTACTGCCATTCAATACCCGATGCTAGAGATGGAAAGCTTGACGGTCTGGTAGAAAGGTATGTCTCCATACTCTGAAGTGCATCGATTGCAGAACCTGAACAGCCATGGCCAAAAAGACGAGTTAGCTGCCTAAGAGTCCAAGAATGGGCTTTTCAATTCTATTAACGCACCCTCTACGACGTCAAGCACGGCATAAGCTAAAACATTCGAGCCTAGTTCTCCACTCTTCGCAACATGGGTAACCACAGCACCTCCGAGACTGTGACCAACTAGAACAAGTGGGGGAATAGAATCCCATTTTAGCTTTTCCTTGGTTTGCTTGACGATATATATAAGATCACGGCTTAGGGTTTCCAGTGTTAGGTCTTGTTCGTGTTTCTGCGAATCGGTTGAACTCTGTGTTGTAAGCCCGTGGCTTCTGGCATCTAATGATAAAATGCCAGCTGTTGGTAGAGCTCGTCTGATTTCGGCAGCACAAGCAGCAAACGATAGACCAGATGAGCCTGCTCCGTGATGCGTGACGAAAAGGGGGCCGGATTTGGTAGGGGAAGTGAAGTAGACGTGATGATTTATATGAAGTCCATCCATATCATCCTCAATGAAAAGTTCTGTTTCAAAGAAGTCATTCCATGGAGAAGCAACGAAATTTGACCTTGATCGTGCCCTTTGACCGAATAGTTAGAATTGGAAAAGACCTAGCAAAGCTTTTCTGACGGGTTACAGGTTGCAGGTATTATGATGTATACCTATTGGAGTATCCCATTGAAAGCATGCAAAGTCATGTAGTAACACATAGGGAAGGAAGTCAAATATAACGTACCCAGACCCACGCTCAAACAACTTCTGGCTCTGCGAGGGCACTATCGTACCCGTGGAGGAAGCCGACGACGCTGACGACGAATCGTCCTCATGATGATCATTATATACCTCAGGACCGGATCGGTTTTCAGTAATCTCATCAAATACTGGCACCTCAGGCGGCAGCTTTGCAAGCCGTGATTTGGCGAAAGACTTTTGGAGGTCGCTCATGGTATCTCGTCTCTGCCCAAAGGGGGAGGGGGTATCTCAAGCTGGTGGACAGGTATCACAGCCGCGCCGTTGGTGGAACAAAAGGGAGGGCAGATATCTCTTCCTTTATCAAACGTGTCTTAAATTGTCTATTCGGTATAACACAAGCCGTATTTCAACGTCTAATTCAACTTTATGCATTATCTTTCTTCAAAGCCGTCGTCGCTTCTCTGGCTCGAAGATGCGATGTTGTTCGCAGTTGAAACTAGTTTAGGTACCTAACGTATGTAATTTACACAACTTTAAATACAGCTAGTCCTAAAGGGGGTGATATATCACGTGATTATGTGACGTCACCGCCCGCCTGTGTTATTTCTGCCCGTCCAAAGCTTGGAAGGACGAAAAAGACGAGACGCCTGAAGGTTCTGCCTTTGCCACATGCGAGGAGAAAGCAAGTAAGATGCTATGCCGAACCAAGGCGGCAGATAGGCGGGCCTTATATGCGTATTGTGTCTCGTCTTGCTATCATGAAGTCAATCTTGTATGACCTGGACCCCGGCGGTGGTGGTATAAATACTAGTGGGCACAGCTCCTCTGCCAACTTGCTGCCAGCTTTGATCGTCTTTTTGACACCCCCAGAGAGCTCTTAATCGCTTTCAACGACCAGGGAACCGGCTTTACTTGGACAGCTCCCTGGAACTGTCCGCCCAATTATTCTGTATTCACTGGAATAAAGTTGTATGTGCTAAAAAAAAGCCATCGAGAATGTCACCCCTTTGGGGTTTACGGCACAACGGCCGAGAAGAAGGCCGGGAGGACGGGGATGAGGAAGAATATGTCGGCGAGACAGGTCGTCCTGATAACAGAAGAAGAGCTCAGGATGTGGACGAAAGGACACGGCTCTTGCCGGCTGAAGGAAACGGATACCTCCACCCAGACGATCCAGCGGTATGTTATAGATGAGCTCAACCTCGCGTGGATGTTGGTCAAGCTAACTCGTCATTCTTGTCATCTTGATTCAGGTATCGCCGTACAATTTATGGAGTGTCCGGGCCCTGAGAGGACTCACCCTGACGGTGTTATTCATATCACTTCTTTGGTGGATTCTGCTACTCATATCGATCTTCGTCAGCCCCCCTGGGATGAGCAACCGGGGATCCGGCTTCTTTGATTTCTCCTTCACCACTCTGACGATATCAAACTTGCTTATTGCATTGATATTCTTTGCCATCCCGTCCACGCCTATGACAATATGGGCTACCACCTTATCCATCCTGCTGAGCGTCAGCCTGTTTCTCATGCTTGGAGTCCCACGGCTTCGCGTTGAAGAAGGCTGGGTGGGCATTGCATCGGCAGCATGGGCAGTCATTATATCTCTCTATCTGGTAGCCCAGACTCGGTTGGTGGCCCAGGGTAAGAGGCAAGAAGAGGAACGGCTGACTGGCCGAGAGGAGACTCGCCGATCCCTCGCGGAATGGCTGGCCATCCTCGTTCAGATTATCGTTATGGCGGTTACCGTGCTTGTTGGCATCCTACTCATGTCCACGTTGAGTCTCCGCGCAAAGGACGCTACCCTGGAGGCCCCGGGGCAGAGGTATTATGTCGACAGCAACAAGTACCAAGTCCACCTTCACTGCATCGGTGGTGACCATTCAACCTTGAAAAACAGCAACGAGACGGTCGTTACTGTCCTCCTTGAAGGAGGTGAGTCACCAGTGGAATATACATTCCAAAAGTGGGTGGATGAAGCCTATCAACACGGTGTGATCAAACGATACTGCTACTGGGACCGCCCCGGCATCGCTTGGTCAGACAATGCACCGTCTCCTCACTCGGCAGGAATGTCGGCAGATGCCCTTTCAGAGGCACTGGCGATGGCCGATGAAGAAGGCCCGTGGGTTGTAGTGTCGGCCGGCGTCGGTGGCATCTACAGCCGCATCTTCGCCAGTCGACATCTTCGCGACATCCACGGTATCATGCTTATCGACACGCTCCATGAAGACCTGCTTCACAACCTGGGCAAGCCAGGCCGGGGGTTGATGCTCTGGATCTGGGGTATATTATCTCCACTTGGCATTGACAGGCTGGCCGGCGCAATCTTCAAGGGCCGGACTCGAGTAGACCGTGTCTGCGGCATGCGAGCCTATCAGGGAGGAAAGTTCATCAAGGCCGAGCTCCAGGAAAGCCTTGTTGCGGATTCCATCACCCGCAGCGAGATTTCGAGTGCACGACACATCCAGAGCCCATCCACCCCTCTGGTAGTCGTCAGTTCAGGCAAAGAGGTAAGACGAAGCCAGACCTGGGCTGATAAGCAGGAAGATTTGACCAAGATCACCAAGAATCTTGTTGCATGGGACGTTGTCAAGGGAGCACCGCATCAGGTCTGGGACACCCTTGACGGACGACGGACACTGGAGAAACGACTAGGAGAACTGGTGAAGCAGGCTAAACATTAAAAGCCTTTGATCTTGACCCTCTCGGTTGTCTTTTGATTCCCGTATGTGCCATGTTTTTTTTCAATCAGCCCCCTTTTTCGGAGCCATTTTCTTGACTTTCAACTTCTCGAAATTGTATGCACCGTGTGGAAGCCCTTTGCGCCCCGTCTTCTCGGAAAATTTGTATGATTCCATCTTCATAGCCTAGCTTGACTTGTAATGTTAACCGTCTGTCAAAAAAAAACATCGCAGGCAGTGCAGTGATATAAGTAATAATAGCATCGTTAAGCCCATGATTCCAAAAGGGGGCCGAAGCCTCCGAAGATACGATGGAAGGATGGATTCAATTCGACCCTAAAACATGGCCGAACTTCATCCGGCTAGAACGAGGATGGAATTTATTAATATTAATCACACTCAGCGCCAGCTAGCTCGCTCGCACCAAGCTCGCCGGCTGAGGAATCGGCCTGCTTCCCCGTAATCATTGCTGTGGAATCCTTGATAGCCCGAGATTTGTCATCCCGCCGATGGCGCAAGATGCCGATAGCTTGGCTGCTGGAGGCGTCCGTTTTGGCCCTGGCTGCCTATTTATTCGGCGGCCGTCGTCCTCAGCACTGGCTGCTGGGAGAGCGTTGAGCTGTTCATAAGGATCAAACCGCCGCTCTGACTGACCAAGATTGCCTTTGAAGCGTCTCGCTGCTCCCATCGCGTGCTCTCTCAGATTCACTTCCTTTCAATTTCTTTGACTTTCTTATCTGTCAAAGTCCGTCCCTGTCAAGATCTCAACCGCCAAGCGAGGCAAAACGGCGATCAAACGGCAAAGATCAAAATATCTTAAATATCTTCCGGGGACCAGCCAGGCCGGCCAGCCCAGCTAGCTAGCACAGAAAAACCACTTCTCCCTCTCCCTCCTCCCCGGTTGATGGCCTTTCCCCCAATATCCCTTCAGCGACTCCTGCAACGATTGTCGAGGCCCTTCTCTCTCAGTTCCGTCAAGATGACTGTCATTCCCGAGTCCCCTGCCGGTGGTTTGGCTGCAAAGCAGCAAGGTATCCCTCCGCATGCGCAAAAGGCCACCTTTGCTGCCGGCTGTTTCTGGGGCGTTGAACACATGTACCGTCGGCGGTTTGGCAACGGGAAGGGCCTCCTAGATGCCTCTGTTGGCTACTGCGGCGGGAATTCCAAGTTGCCAACCTACCGTCAAGTTTGTACGGGACAGACAGGCCGTAAGTCTACACCCATAGCCCTTTTTTTTTTTTTTCGGGCTTTCATCGGGAGATCATATTGATCACTGCCATTGCGCCGTTGGTGTTCGGGATAGGATTGCTGACCTTTGCTCTCTTGCTTGCCTTGCCATTGAAACAGATGCCGAAGCCGTCCAGGTGATATATGACCCGACAATTGTCTCGTACCAGCAGCTTGTCGAATTCTTCTACTCCATGCATGACCCAACCACCAAGAACAGACAGGGCGCTGATACTGGCACCCAGTACCGAAGTGCCGTGTTTGCTCATAACGAGGAACAGCTGAGGATCGCAAGGAGCGTAACGGACCAGGTCTCTAGGCGGTGGTGGAAGGCCCCAGTCACCACCGAGCTCAATCCCCCGGACCAGTGGCAGTGGTGGACTGCCGAAGCATACCATCAGCTATACCTGGAGAAGAATCCTACTGGATACGTGTGCCCAGCCCAGTAAGTCATCCTCCTTCTTCACCTATCGATATGATATCGTATAAAAATAGCCCTTGCTGACCGTCGCCTCACACACTCCAGCTTCGTGCGGGACTTCCCTCCTCTGGTTTCCGCGTGAGCTGAAACCAGAGACGATACCCGTTAATGAACAATAATGAGAAGCAATATCCTCCCCATATTTTTTTTTACCATCATATACCCAAGGAGAATTCAACGTCTCCTTCGTTTATTCTGTTTTTCTACACGCTGGCAGTGGTAGTTCCATCTTCAACCTCATAATACCACGGAACAGGACCTAAGCCAACTATCGAGTGTTTACCTTTCTGCATTGATTTTTATCCTCTTTCATCGAGTCCTCGGGCGGCGTTCTCTTATTTTTATTTTTATTTTTCTCGTTCATACTTGAGATATTAACTCCCGGGAATGCGTGTGGGCAAGTTGATACAACATTCACTTGCTCGATGAACACTCAATACTTCCTCGGGCCAGTCCTTCTGCCAGTGATATATTAAGTAGGTATCTTAGAGCTGCGGAAAAGAGAAAAAATTAGACCTCTTCATTGAGACTTTATCTTGTCAACTCTAGACTATCCATCCCCACCCCATTGAATTATACATATACATAGCTCTGCGAGCCTCGTACCAACGGTATCCGTAGACAAACGCCGTCAACCCTAAAGCAAAACAGCCACCAGATGATCGACACTCAAACAGCAACCGGGGCAATGCAGCTTCTTTCTTCCCTGGCATTGACCAATCGTAGGGGGCCACCGTTTCAGGAGAAAATATCCCCTGGGGCTGCAGGAGTCATGCAGTGGTCAACGAGATCGCCCCGGGTGCAGCAAAACTATGTACAAGGGCGTACGAGGGCCGATATCGATCTGGCTCGCCCTCCGTGCGCACCCAAGAGAGGCAGAGGTCAGCTGGTGTCCCTTTGGCTCTGTCCAGCCCGTACCAACCGTGGTTCGAGCACACTCTGGCGTCTAGATAAACCAAACAATAGCGTCATAAAGGCAACAAAAACGGGCCCCCTTTTTTGTTTTTCTTTTCTTATTAGCTGTAGGTAACTGCTCCCTGCTTAGCTCTCGGCCAGTTGAACCATGTCTCCGCATCGTCATCACAGCAGAAAAGTGTGGAGAAGCGTGGGAAGACAGGTAGGATACCTGGTTCGTGTCCTTGCCTTAACCACCGCTAAGTCCTGTGTCACTCGCCGGCCTGCTGGTGCATCGCTCGGCTTTGGCCATCCGGTGGGCGAAGCTTCGTCATGTAGAATGTACACGAAGGGGAGATATGACTTTATCTTTCCAGCCCTTTCCGGGCCTATCCTGCCTATCAGCTTGTGTCCTGAGCGAGCTTTCGTGTGATGTCTTCGTTATGGATGCTTGGATGGCGGCTTGTTTTGACAGCTGTGGAAGCGAGCGATGGCTGGCTGCGTGGACAGTGTGATGCTCTGCGTAACTAACTAGCTAAAAGGAGATGCCGGTCGTTCTGCATTGCATCTGGCTGTTATAAGGGATTAGATGGCTGGCGGTCATCTATATCACTCTATAACTAGCCTCTTTCCCCGGGTTTGCAGGGCGTTGTTACTGCTACTTCTCGTATACTTGACATAACCATCTTTGGACGAGCAGTGGCGGATTTAACTGTCTCTATTTCTACTACCTTGTTGACCCTCTTTTCTCCTCTTCACAAGCCACCCCTTCGACCATTAGATATATTTCCATCGACAGCGAGTTGTGTTGGCTATCATATTCATCTGAGAGAGATAATCTGCACCGAAGGATGGCCTCCGTCGGAGGGATTCCAGCCGTCAACGTTCTATGGAGTACAAAGCAACATCTATATTTCAGCTCTCGCACCGCACGTCTCATCATCGGCAGCCAATGCCGTCCTGCCCAACATATCCTACACTGGGCCAGATACCATCATGGCGACAAGTACGTAGGAGGCCATAGGGACAAGCTGCCCTCGCCGCCTCCCTCGACCGCCCTCGCTACGCCTGGGAGGCAGCGGACAGCGGCCTCTCTCTTCCAGCCACCAAGCCCGCCTCTCTCGAGCTTCCCCTCTTCTCAATGTCAGACTATGGCTTCCCCATTGTCAATGCTCTCTATATCCTCGATCACTCGCTCTCTGTTCACCACGGCAATGTCCTCTTCCCCCATTGTCTTGAAATCAGCAATGAAAGTCCTATCCTTCATAGCAGATTCAAGTTCACCCCTATTGAACCCTGATCGCAACTTTATATTGAATTATATCTTACGCAAAACCCTTTATACCCAGTTCTGCGCCGGGGAGAAACCGCATGAAGTCCAGCGCTGTATTGACGAGATAAAAAGAGTCGGGTTTTCAGGTGTCATTCTGGGGTATGCGAAAGAAGGTGTCCCTGATAAGAAAGAAGCCGCTGCAGTTCTTGACCTGGATAGCACGGAGGCTGACACCACAGAGAGTAACCAGAAGGTTGCAGAATATGAGGTCAACACCTGGCGAGAGGGGAACCTTCATACTGTAGATCTGGCCGGGGAAGGGGGGTTTGTCAACATCAAATTCACAGGAGCGGGAAGTGAAGCAATACAACATCTGGTACGTGGCGCCCCTCCGCCACCACACCTCTATGAAGCGATGCTTGAAATCTGTGAAAGGGCATTATCCCGGAATGTTCGCCTGTTGATCGACGCCGAACACCAAGCTGTTCAACCGACTATTGACTCCTGGGCCCTTGATTTACAGCGCAAGTATAACAGCCGCAGTGATAGCACTGCGGGCGAAAGGGCTGTGGTGTACAACACGTACCAGGCGTATCTCCGGTCAACTCCCAAAACGCTGTCTCAACACATGTCTATTGCACAGGACGAAGGGTTTGTGCTAGGCGTCAAATTGGTCCGGGGAGCATATCTGGGGGCCGAACCCAGACATTACATCTGGGACCACAAGCAAGAAACAGATACAGCATACGACGGCTTAGCTGATGCACTGATCAGGAGAGAGTACAACGAGGTGCTCACTCCATATGTCTCGACTGCCTCGCCAAAATCCCCTACCTCACCTCCCGTAACAGAGCCAGAATCCACCCCAAAACCTACCTTTCCAGAATTGGATCTGCTGGTTGCCTCACATAATCGGTACTCGATCAAGAAGGCACAGGATATCAGGAACCAGCAAAGTTATACGGGTCAGCCCCAGATTGGACTGATGTATGGCCAGATATATGGAATGGCTGATGAGCTTAGCTGCGAGCTCATCCACCGAGGCAAGATCTGCCATGAGGGGGAAGTTGTTGACACTTCAATGTTAGTGAAGCCAATGGTTTACAAAGCAGTTGTCTGGGGGTCGGTCCGAGACTGTATGAGGTATCTTGTCCGTCGAGGCCAGGAGAATATGGATGCAGCTTCGAGGACACTGGATACCAGACGAGCAATGGCAAAGGAACTAAGGAGGAGGATATTTGGAGCCTGGTTTTAGTTATGCGACCTCAACGGAGGTTCTTTTATCCATTTGATTGTTTATTGGGCACTTTTTATGTGAGTATCGTAGCAAATTTTGGGCGTTCATTTTTTTTGTATGTCTTTCTTCAATTTTCGCAAATATGAACTTGTGAGCAATTGATAGTTCATCGGATATGATGTCCAGCCCTACCTGCTATAGTAATTGCTGTCCTAGCATATTCGTAGGCTCGGTCAGTTGAGCCGGAGTATTCGGCTGTGAATTTCGAAGGTTTTGCCTGGGGTGAAGGGTATTGGAAGGCGTTTTCGGTATCACAGGGGTGTTGGCCAAAGTTGCTCGGAAATGATTTGAGCCATGCATCGTTTCAGGATACGGTTACCGTTGCAGCGGGGTCATCTGATGCGATTGAAATTGCGTGTGTATATCAGCAATACATATAATTTCCAGCACAAGCAGTTAAAGAGGGTAACTGTCTTTTTTTAAATCCGGAGGGATAACATTTGCAACAGGCCCCAAGCGAGAAGCCATTGCTCCCTATATTACTTCATACCTGCCAATGCGATGACTTGGGACAACTCTGGGGTACATCACTAGCTAGAAGCCAAGCCAGAGACCAAGCCGAAGCCGAGCATCCGGATAGGATCAGAAAGTTAAGGTATAATACTACTTATGCAAACTGCAGTCTGACAGAATATATCCTCCAAGGTTTTCTTGGGACCGGCCGGATGGCATTGGCGGAAGACGTCGGAGATCATTCACATTGGTATCACATAAAGTACGACCTAGGCCGCTGAGGCGGTTCGGTGTTTCCTAAAAGAAGCTGGCCATCATCAAGCAAGCAAGTTCAATAGTCAAAAATAAAATAGATTTTAATACGGTTTGGAGGGCTGTTTCACCACAAAAATTCGATATCACGTGATGTTTGTGTTCCCCCAGAAGGTTGGGCTTCCCAATTGGGTCTAGAGGAGGCGTAAGCTACATGCTTCATGCATAAAACTATATACATAGAGCCAGAGTTGGTAGATGTGATATCATCACCAGGAGCCGCCAACATGAGGACGATCGAAGCGTTGTTTCTCCTTCATCTCGCGGTAGTCGAGATAACCGAGCCACTTCTTGTCAACGATCTCTCTGAGGTCGAGACCATCTTCGGGCTCAAGAGTCTGCGCATTGACAGAGAGATAGCAAGATCTTAGCCCTTCATCCCAGCCATCCTCGTCGATCGTCCAGGCCTTTGTCTTGATCTTCTTTGGGCCTTCATCTCCTGCAGCGGCGGCGGCGGCGGCAGCAGCAGCAGCCTTCATGTCTGTTGTATCAGCTGGCTTGGTCGCCCACTCCTCGACATCCACCTCCTTAACCCTGCCCTTTCCTCCGAAGGAGAAACAGCGCACGCCACAAGTGGGACAGAAGTACCAGGTCGACCCCTCCTCGAGAATCTTGTAGGCAGTCAGGTCATTTTCCGGCTGAAGAGGAGAGAGCAGCAGGAAATCCTGCGGTGCTCTGGGCAGACGCATATGGAAGAGGCCGAACTTGAGACAGGCGGTGCAGTTGCACTTGTAGAAGTGGACGGAGGAGTAGCGGTCGACTTTGCCGTCAGGACTGATGGCGGGCGGCATGGTGATGTATGCCACATAGCGGATGAGGCCACAGCGACAGGACCCCCTGTAGGGCTCTCGGGTTGACGCTGCCATGATGATATGGGCTCTCTTTTATATATACGGAGTGCTGCGTTGCTTAGGGTTGTACGGCAGGAGGACCTTTGTCTGAGAGCTGCGTTGCTCCGAGCTGCTGCTGCTCTTCTTTTTATGTACGGAGTAGACGGACGAGACACAGAGAGACAGGCAGCCGCTCTTTGTTCGTCAGCTTCCCCGAACCCGAGCCTGAGCCTGAGCCTGAGCCTGCAGACGGGACTCAGCTCAGGCAGCCAACAGCATCCTTTGGCGCTGGGCCTACCCTGTCTCTCGCCTGAACCGTGCAGCTCCAGCTCCGGGGCCGCCCTCTGCTCTGCCACCTCTCGCCCACCCCACGGCCAATCTCTTTTCCAGCGTCGCAGGAGCAGAGATCGCCAGCATCGGACATTGGCCTCATCTCCCGAAGCCTGCTCTTCCCTGCTTCGCTCGCCCTTCTCTCGCCGTCCACTTTTTTTACCCCGTAAAAGTTGTTTATCCGCCGTTCTGACTAAGCAAAAGCAAACATGAGCTAGCGGACGCATGGCACCTTACCTAAGCAGCCACAGCCAATCAGCGTCCAGCGGCTTACCAAGGCGCTCTGCCCCCTGGCCCTGGTCTCGTGACCCAGGCTCCGCCCGAGCAACCTTTTTGTGTCTCAGAAAGAAAAAAGAGCCGAGCCTTTGGAGCCTTTTTTAGTTCTTCGCTCTTGCGCTCGCTCCTCGAGAGAACAACCTCCTCCTCCTCCTGCTCCTCCCCCCTGGCCCTCCCGTCGTTTATCACCATCCCCAAGTCCGCCCTCGAGAGGACGCTCGTTCACTCGCTTCCTGTCGACTTTCGAGGCCCGCGGCTCTGGACTCCCCGTCGTCGTCGTCTTTTCTTCTGGTCGCTCGCTCGCTCGTACTTGCTTTTTTTTCCCTCTTCTTTATTATACATATATATTCCAGTGGATCGTTACTCCTGCGCGACCCCGATCACTACCCGTGTTCTGTGCACCTATACTTGCCTCCGTACATAATTCATCATCATTATATATACAACATCAGCCCCCTAGGAGAGAGACACTGCCCAAGTATCTCACATTTTTTTTTCTTGTTGCTTTTCTTTTGGGGCTGTCTGATATATACTCCAGGAAAACTAGAAACTCTGCCTCTACACGGAGTTTTCGCCTAATCATAATATCCTTCCTTCTTTTTCTTTTCTTTCGTCCGCCGTTGAGCGTCGAGGGTTACGCAGGATGACTCGCTTCGTCACTTTTGCTCTCGCCGCTGCGCTCTCTGCACAGTCGGTGTTGGTTGCTGGTGCTTCCCAGAAGTGTAGCCCGACTCAGAAGTGCCCTAGTTCGGCGCCCTGTTGTTCATGTAAGTTGGCTCTGTCTGACACGCAATTATGAAACTCGAGGTATAATAACAAGACCTATGATGCTGACTGTGTGGGGGGGGGCCTTTTTCCCTCTTTGAATTTTTTGCGTAGTATACGGAGAATGTGGTTCTGGTGCCTACTGCTTGGGAGGATGTGATATGAAATCATCCTTCACCGTGGACTCGTGTGTCCCCATGCCGGCCTGCAAGAGTCAGACCTATAACTGGGACGACTTGAACAGTGTGGCTCCCAACACAAAGTACCTGGGTGATGCCAGCAAGGCGGATTGGGTCTCCAGCGGTGAGCCCAAGTCTGCCGGTGGTAATCTGTTGTTGACCATGGCTCCCAGCACCGTTGGTACCTTGCTCGGCCACAACCACTACATGTGGTATGGCAAGGCCTCCGCTAAGCTAAAGACCAGTAGGGGTCGTGGTGTGGTGACTGCTTTCATTTTGATGTCTGATGCAAAGGATGAGATTGATTTCGAGTTCATTGGAGCCGACCTGACTACTGCTCAAACCAACTACTACTACCAGGGCATCACCGATTGTAAGTTTTCTGCGTGACATGAGCCATCAACCTCGACTTAAAAAGACTAACATTTACTTTTCACCTGGTTAGATACTCATGGCAAGAACCAATCACTCTCTAATACTTTCGATGAGTATCATACCTATGAGATCGACTGGAAGCCAGAGAAAATTACCTGGAGCATTGACGGCCAAACCATTCGTACTCTCGAGCGTGATAGCACGATGAATGAAACCACTCACCAGTACAACTACCCTTCCACGCCCGCTCGTGTCCAACTCTCCCTCTGGCCGGCTGGTCTGTCCACCAACGGAGAGGGTACCATTGCCTGGGCTGGAGGCCTCGTTGACTGGAAGTCCGAAGACATTCAGAAGAACGGTTACTACTACGCACTTTTTGACTCTGTCACCATCGAGTGCTACGACCCTCCAAAGAGCGCCAAGGTCGAAGGTAGCAAGGCCTATGTCTACTCCGATGACAGCGGTACCGAAGGCTCCGTCAAGATCACTGACGACAGCACCATTCTTAAGTCGTTCCTCGGCAATGGCAAAGACAAAGACAAGGATTACCCAAGCCCTACCAAGGGAGGTTCCAGCCCACCACGGCCTACCGAAGTTGCTGTCATTCCCGGTCTCAGTGGTGCCGGTCCCGGCCTCGACGGCAAGCGACCAGGTGACGGCGAGAAAGGGAACAATGGTGGCAGCGGCGGTAACGGTGGCTCCAACCCTTCTGCTCCCCAACAGTCCGGCTTCACCCAGGGTCCTGTCGGCGGCGACGGCAACTCGAGCGGCGCCTCTGCTCCAGGAGACCAAGTCCTCCAAGGCTCACTATTTGCTGTTTTCATTGCCATCATGGCACTAGTAACTTTGTAATAACAGTCTCAGCTGTATATATACTCTGAGCCACCCCCCTTTTACCCTCCTCTTCTTGTTAATGCTTTTATGTCTCCCCCTTTTTTTCATCCTACTTCTATCGCGATCTTACCCTCTATTCCCCATTATACAAAGCCTCTCAGCGCATTTGGTCATGTTCACCTTTATTTTTCGATCTCCCCCACCTGCTCTCGCTGATCGCCTCAAGTAGAGCAACCCCTGTCTCCCTCTCTCTCGTCCTCTTCCTGGTTGATTGATGTATGATCTGGTCCATTTTTAGCCTCCTTAAACTAGTTAATGTGTTTTTGCTTATTTATAAACTATAAACCTTAAATTTCGCCCAACGTCTATCATGCATCAACTCCAAACATCCTTTCCAATATCAACCTTCTCTATGCATACTCTGGCGCAGGGGATCTTATTTTTGCAACTGGCTGTGGCTTGCTGTAAGCTTTCTTTACCGAACTCCTTGAAACTCTCGTATGTACGTGCTGGATATATGCATCCCTTAAGGCTGACAACGCTCTCCTATTCGCTGCATGTTACCGAGTAACCCCTATAACAAACAAGAGACTGCCATATAAAGGTCTCGGGATACTAAACGTGGCTGCCTTTTTGATGTTGTCCCGGTTGATACTTTGGGCCTGGCGTTCTTTGCTCTGAACGTGCTAGGAAATGTTTGCATAAGTGTGCCTGAGCCTTGGGTTGTTTTGACAGCCCCAGCCAGCTGTTTGCCTACTTGGGTTCATTTTACTTACTCACTATGCAAAAAGCAACAGGATAAACTAGATCGCTCAGGCTATTCCTTCTAGACAATTTTGCCTAGAATGTAATGCTAGTTTTTCTCCCTTATGGGTGATATCAATTAGCTATACTCTTTTTTTTTTCCCTCCAATCTAAGAAACCAAGTACTTCCCACTGGATTGCTACCTTCCTACATACCCAGCCAGCTTTAAAATACCCATAATCTCAAGACGAGAAGCAATCTATCTCTCTTTATGATTTTTGCTCTATCATTTTCCTCCCTGGATTGAGGCTGAGCGAAATTCCCACCTAACTTCACTCCCACTTTACCCTTCCCTCTATGGATTTGGCATATGTCAATCAAAGGCCATCTTAAGTATCTGTTCAAGCAAACAGCTTCCTAGCCTATGTTAAAATCACTGGCTAGTTAGTACGATGAAGGATAGGGCATTTTTATCCTTGTGGCCCTTGTTCCGGTCCTTATTTCTCATTTAGTTTTCAGTCTAGCCAGAACATGTGTTGCGCCGGCTAGTAAAACAGTATAATTTGATATTAGTTCTATCTTACCTATCCATCACATACTTACTACTTACTGATCTGCTCACATGCCAACTTCAAAACAAGAACAATTTAGTTGCAGTTCTTGAGTCCTAGTAAGTTACCTATGTCTGCTAGCTAGGGATATGTAAGGAAATGCTAAGATTTATATTTACGTTAGTAAGGGAGTAGCTACAACGAGCTAGGACTGGACGAAAAGCACACCAATTCAGAGCAACAGTGCCACCAGGGGCTTTGTAGCTCTCATAAACCAACACCATATACATCTACAGTATGGCCTTATCTCTTTAAATCAAAAGGTTTTAATCCAAATTAATGAGCCCACATAAAGATACAGTCTCAAGTACAATGTGTCGATATTATATGATCAGATACCTCTGCCAGTGCCAAGGGGTTTTCCTCCATTCATTTTGTACTCGCGTTTTCCAGCAACTCATTCGAATCAATGACCCGCAGGAACGAGCCCGCTATGATATCCCATTTGACGATCTCCTCCACTGTGCTCCAACGGACCATAGTATTATTGGCTACGATTTTAGAAACCATACCTGCATTGATTGTCGTATAAGGCTCGAGAGGTGGTTTAGAAACGACGGTATTATATTGTGAAGTGGATGGGTGGCACAGGGACATACGGATGGTGGTATTTTGATATTTATCCTTTGGGAGGAGCTTTGTGTCTGTTCTTTTTTCGACTCCTGGCTATTATGCTATCGTGGTCCTTCGTGTGGCTTGTTTATTAAATAAAGCCTAGAGAAAGTTTGTATTTGATCTGGGAGGATGGTTGCATGTTATTCGAGAAACCGGCGGTTGACATTCCAATTGTTTTATCAGGTACCTAATTGCTATGGGCGACCCTTGGGGGCGGCTAAAAAGGGACTTCCAGTCCACCCACTGACACTACGAGTGGATAGACAAAGGCAGAATCTCATGAGAATATGGCTCGTATTACTCTCAGGTATATAGACTGTGTCTAGTAATGGTCTTGGGAATCGAACATTAGAAGCAGAAAAAGTAGTCTACAAACAACCATTAAACCGCTCCAATGTGAAGGACGAAATCTTAGGAACTCAGGAATGACGGCACAAAAGAAAGCTTATAGAAGAAGACCGAAAGAGATGTAAAATAGCAGAAAGTCTATCAATGATTGCCACAACCACAATCTGATCGTCCTTGATGGACGGGGTTCTCATCAGGGCCTCTATTTCTTAGACGACGCTTGAAGTCTCCGTGATAGGTATCAAGCTGGTCGACAATCACATTCTTGTCAAGCGGCTTGCCCATCCAAGAGTAGTCGGATGCAGATTCTTCACTGCTAGTTGAGGGTTTAGTCTTAACACCCTTCAACTTTTTAGTGATAGCATCTAGGTCAAGATCAAGGTAGGTAGCGATGAATCCGCCCACTTCAGTGTTTTCGTGGTTACCAACCAGTGGGAGAGCGTCGTGAGGAGACGAAGCAAAGATGCTAACATCAGCGGCAGAATGGCCGTGGGTGCTCCAGCCTATCTGGGCTCTGCGACTTACAAGGTCGGCAAAAAGGTATGCAGCAGGTCTGCCGGTGTTATCGATAAGACGATCGATTTCCTCGTCAGTGGTGTCGACGATTCCTAGAGCAGGCTTGATGAATTTCTCGCGAATATGCTTGCGCTTTTCCTCTCGGGATTGGCCATGACCTTGTCCTTCTAGGTAGGCGTTCAACTTGGGCTCGAGGTACTCAGAGGAATGAGTAGCATTAGCAAGAGCATCGGGAAGCCAGAGGTACTCTGGGTATGATTCATGGAGCTGTCTTGCAGCGGCCAGACCGCCGGTTTCGTGGTCGGATGTACTGACGAGAACACCAGGGGTAGAGTCGTTTTCAAGGAATTCTAGAACAGCTGCAAAGGCCTTATCGTATGCCAAAACCTCATGGACCTGAGCAGCTGGGTCGTTACCATGGCCAGCATGATCAATTCTCGAGCCCTCAATCATGATGAAGAAACCATGCTCGCTATTCTTGGTGGCATCGCTAAGTGCCTTGAGGGCAGTTTTAGTCATCTCCTCTAGAGATGGGAACTCCTTTTCTCGGTATCGTCGATCGATTTCATAAGGAATGTCAGTTGGGGCCAGGAGACCTAGCAACGGCAGTTTGGCAGCTTCGCCTTTCTTCAGAGCATCGAATCCTTTGCGGTCATCAAAGTAATGGAAGCCTTTGGACTGCGCAAGCTTGACCAAATCCTTGTCATCGGCACGACAAGACCCAGAGGTAGAGTTGGGCAGGAAGTGGCATCTACCTCCACCCATCATAAGATCAACCTGTACACCGAGAGGGTATTCACCAAGCTGATGTTCAGCAATCAAATCTTCATAGCCACGAATGTTCACATGGGAAGAGAAGCAGGCAGGAGTGGCATCGGTGATTCGTGTAGTGACGACCAAACCGGTCATGTAACCTGCTGCCTTAGCAGCTTCCAAGACGGTTCCACAGGGCGAGTGGTCAGGAAGAACCGATATGGCACCGTTATAACTCTTCTTTCCACATGCGAAGGCGGTGGCTCCGGCAGCTGAGTCTGTCACCAGGCTGCTGGAAGACCTCGTTCTGGATGATCCGATATGGTGTTTGTCCAGGGTCAGGATATCGTCTATAGGAAGCTTGTCAACATGCTGCCTGAAAGAGCGAGTCATAGACAAGCTTGTAGGCCCCATTCCATCGGATACCATGAATATCATGTTCCGTTTCCCAGTGTGCCTAGCTCTATGGGGGTCTTGGGGCAAGGAATGGTCATGCTGGTAGACGATTGCAAGGACGATAACGGCAGCAGTAGCGACGAGAGCCCAAGTAAAGAGTCCAACTTGACGCCAGAAGTTAGGGCTACGACGGGAATCATCGTTGATAGTACGGCTGACCCGCTCCCCGGTCAGAAGGGTAGACTCTTCATCGTTTCGGTCCGTGTCGTTCGATGGGCGAGGGTCGTTGGACGCCATCGTTGTATGGGCCAACGCGGGCCTGAGTATAAGTGCGCGTGAAGAACGAAAGGCTCACCGAGGCTCTCACATATGATACGGTGATATGAAGGACGGCGTGGTTGTCCTGTACCCGGTACTTCGTGCACTCTGTTGCAGCCTCCGAGATGCCAAAAGCTGGGGAATCGAAGTCCCGTCGCGATCTGGTCACGTGAAAGGTACCACACATGACCCGCAGGAAGCGCCGGCTCAAACTCACTACGGAGCTTGCCAGGGGGAGATCCAACACTCGAGTCTGCGTAATCAGCGGGCCAGGAGACGATGATTTACAGGACACGTTATTCATGCTCAATGCTTAATATATATAGTACATAGCGTATATTACAAGGTTACTAGAAGGAAATATGGCCGCCGAGGGTACCGAGTAACAACTGACCTCTCTATCCAATAGGTAGCAAGGCGGCTGCAACTTCTTGAACACCTCTCTCTGTTGCCAGCAGATTGAACTGCGCAGCGGCATTCCTAGTATCCTGAACCTCAACCCTTATGCCTAATTCATTGATATGTCTCCTAGTCTCGGGCGAGATGGGGCGCATCGTGGGACCCAGCCCAAGAATCAGCAGATCTAAACGTAAAGTTAGCACGCCATACAGTAGCCATTTCCAAAGGAGATGTATAGACGTCTGGTACTCAATCAACACATACCAGGTTTAGGCCATAAAAGACGCAGAGCACCCCAAGCACCCTCCGGCACCTCCCACTGGCCCTTCTCATTAACAAAGCTCCTCTCCTTGCCAGCCGCAGCCTCCCACGGTTTCCAAACAAACGCCTCTCCATCAACCAGTAAACACCCATTCCCATCCGCAATCCGCACGCCATTATTCAGTTGAAATCCATCATGGTGGCATGCGTCAATGGCTGTTGCAGGGACCGCTGCACCGGATAGGATGTTCAGTGAGTTAAGATCCGTCATGTGTTGCGCATCTGTTCCTTCAGGTGGTGGACCGCGGTAGTTTGATTTGGGCTTCAGATCTGCTGATGATAGTGTTGTACGGCGTGAACGGGGTTGGGTGCGGACGTTGGGGTCAGGATTGCTTTTGTCGCTGGTGTAGGTGCGGACGCCGGCGGGTGTGGGTTTGAGAAGGCATCGAGATATTTTTGGTTTGAGGGAGGCGTACGACGGCTGAGATGAGGTAGAAATGCTCTTTGAAATAGAGCTTCGGAGAGAGCGGAGGAGTAATGTTGATGGCGGATGCATGATGGCTGACCTGGAGTTGCCGGGCTCAAAAAGACGAGAGTCGAGACGTTGTAGATTTGAAGTCGCTTTTCGGCTTTTTTTATTTTTGATCAAGCAATGAAAGTCTTGGCATTCTTTCACAGCTTAAGTTGAGTTATGCAAACGAACTTTGTAGTTTTTTATCGGTTCCACAGCACATTTGCAAATTGGTTATCTCAATAACAATGCTTTTTTAACCATATTCTATATAAGGTAGCCCGTAACCAGCCCCTCGGCGACCACTGAGAAGACGCTCGCCGTTGTTTCTAATTTTTCCTACCCTGCCTCGCCTTTTATTTTTGGTTTTACCAGCCCGGGAAAAGGGGAACGAAGAAACACCCAGTCAGTCCTCGAAGAGAAGGGAAAAAAGACGAAAAGAAATGATAGATAAAATAATAAAAGAGACATTACCATTAATAACGCAATTAGGCCGCCCGAAGGAGAAGTAGGAACATAGAAGGTGCGGTTGTTAATAGGGAATGGAGGAATTGAATGGCAAAGAGTTATAAAAGACATAGTGGAGAAGGGGTGTATAATAGCGTGCGTGGTAGAAAATCGAGGACTAGGAAATAAAAGGGAAGAGAAACGGAACGTATGGGGAGTTAAATAAGGATGCTTGCAAATAAACCGCTTTGCGCCATAGGAAACCCATGTCTTGTAAACTGCTAACGCCAGGAAATGATATCAATTCTCAATGCCTCCAGTCCCCTTTGCCTGTAGCCGTAATGGATGCTTAGGTTAGTGCGAGGCCGTGTACGTCGTCATAACTGTCGAGTAAGATATAAAGGTAATAGGAAATACAAGCGAGAATAGGAGTTTCGGGTTCGGTGTCGCCGTGTTTTAAGGTCCGGCAGGTTTAGTCTCGGGAGCTTTGGTAGAGCGCTGTGACAGGGTTGGGCGTGGACGAGCAGTGGTCTCTGCATGTCTATCTTCGTCTGACTGGCTGGAGCTATCCTCACCGCCACCAGCAACCACGGAACTGCTTCTCAGTCGTTCCGCGCGGTCCTGCAGGGCCTGTGCCTCGGCGGCAGCTCTCTGAGCCTTAATCTGTTTACGCCACATGCTTGAATAACGGCCTTTCATGGCCAACAGCTGTTCATGAGTACCTTTCTCGGCAACCTGTCCGTTTTGGAGGACAAGGATCTGATCCGCCGTGGTGATTGTGCTGAGACGGTGAGCAATGACAAGCATGGTTCGGCCCTTGGACAGGGTAGCCAAGGCGCCTTGGATGTGTTCTTCGGTGTCGGTATCGAGAGCGGCGGTAGCTTCATCCAGAAGAATGATACGTGGGTTCTTGATAATCGTTCTAGCGATTGCGACTCGCTGTTTTTCTCCGCCACTCAGTCTGAGACCACGTTCTCCAACTTTGGTTTGGTAACCATCGGGGAAGGTGAGGATGCGGTCATGGATGCTGGCTGCACGACAAGCATCGTAGATGTCCTCGTCGGTTGCCGCAGGGTTAGCGTATTTGAGGTTGTACATAATGGTCTCATTGAACAAGACAGTATCTTGTGGAACAACACCGATGTGTCGGCGGAGCGAGTCGATGGACACACTCTCGACAGGATGGCCGTCCACGCGGATCTGACCAGAAGTAGAGTTGTAGAACCGGAACAAAAGACGGAAAACAGTGGACTTTCCACCGCCTGACTCTCCCACAAGAGCAGTGGTAGTACCAGGCTTACATTCGAAGGAGAGTCCATTCAGGGCCGGCTTGCGGCTGTCATATGCGAAGTGTACCTTGTCAAACTCGATTCCGCCATTGCAGGAGCGGAGTTCATCAACATCAGGTGCATCAACAACAGTAGGTTTTGCCCTGAACAGCTCCAGAAGCCGTTCAGAGTTAATCATGGCTCCTTGGATCGAGCGATAAAAGGTTCCGAAGAAGTTTAGAGGCCCCTGAAGTTGGGACATGTATGTGAGCAAGCCGACGAACTGACCAACATCTCTCTGACCATTTGCGATCTGGAAAGCGCAAATGAAACAAGTGATGAGAAGGCCTAGCATGAAAACGGTGTTCTGGCAGGTATTCATCAACTGAAGAGAAAACAGGACATGGTATTCAGCGGCCTGGTAGTCCGAAACGGCCCCACGGTATCGGTTGAACTCGTAAGGTTCAGCATTAAAGTACTTGACTGTTTCATATGAAACCATCGAGTCATTTCTACACCAATTAGTACAAGTAACGGCGGACAAGGAGAGTTGATAAGGGGAGAGATGGGACTTACTTGACAGCATCCTGCTGGCGATCAGCATTAGTCATCATGCGTCGGACTTCACCTCTCCACTGGGCCATGCGGATGGTCAGATAGAGGTACAAGAAGGTAATGATGCCTACCACCAATGCGTAGTAGACATCGAACTCGACAAAGAAGTAGCCCACGGCAATGCACATGTCAACCAACATCGGCACAACCTGGAATGTAACCTGCTCAAGGAAGCCGTTGATGGAGCTACCTTTACCCAGGGCAGACAGGACCTCGCCAGTTTTCTTGCCGAGGTGGAAGTCGAGGCTGAGACTGTGGACATGTTCAAAGGCGGCCGTTGAGAGCTCCATGTAGGAGTACTGGCCAACGGGAATCCACAAGAAGGAACGCAGGGATCCGATAAGGCCCTGGGAGCCCTGTAGTGAGCGGAAGATGACGTATAGACAAATGGTGCCCCATGGAACGTAGAACTCGTTTCCATGTTCCTGGGCAAGGATATTGACGATGTTACGAACGAGCATGGGAACTCCGAGGTTGACGCCTCTTTGGAGTATGACAAGGAAGAAACAGAAGACAACGATTGACTTCAGCTTGGTTGACCTGGACGGCCAAAGGTACGGGAAAAAGAGCGAGTAGCCGCTCATATACTCCCACCAGCTGGTCGACGGGAGTGTCTTTGGCCGCACCCATCCGTCTTCCTCGGGCTGGTCATCGTCGTCATGTTTGAGATGTCGATGAGAAGCACCGTAACGGTCACCGTTGGCGTGTGCAGTGCCATTTCCAGAGTGTAGCAGTGAAGTAGTCTCTGTGGCAGTCCCGCTGTTCTGAGCTCCACTTTTCAAGGCATAGGAAGTCAGGCTGTAGATAACAACCAGAGACACGAGCAGCAAGATCCGGGCACTGGCTGTGACAACGAGGCCGGCTTCCCAGGTAGTCAGCCCCTTTCTGAGCGGGCCCCCGAGCGGGTCGCCAACGATGGGCTCGTGGTGCGGCGAGGTGTTGATATCAAGGAACAGGGCCAGGATGACCAGCTCCAGCAGCATAGAGACTATCCAGGTGATGAGCTGGGCCACTGTTGGTGAGGGCGTAGTGTCAATCAGAGATATCAGCACCAGAGTGTGGACAAAGAAAGTGCCGACCACATGAATCTGCAAGCAGTTAGTTTAAGAAGAAGAAGAAGAAGAAGTGTCTCTCTCTCTCTCCTGCCTGCTCTCCCCCCCCTGGGCGGCCACAGCATGCGAGATGCACGACTAAGCATGCAGCTTTTAAACAGACGTCATTTCATCAACAGCAGCAGCAACAATAACAACAACATCAAAATCAACTACAAAGAAAGGAGAAAAAGCTTGTACTCACTACGACTGCTTGACCACACCACCAGTGGTCCTTTCGATGGAGCACAATGTGAGCAACATGGATGGCGGCCTCGGCAATAAAGCTGAACAGGACGCCCACGGCCAGCCATTTGAAAGCTAGCTTCGTGGCAGGCGAGAAGTCGGGGGTTTTGCGGGCAATCAGCACGGCAGCGCTCCTCATGCGCGTAGGCAGAGGCCTGCCTCCGGGCCCGGTCCTTGCACCCTTTGTATGCTGCGCCTTGGGCTCGATCCTCCGGTTTGCAATGACGGTGTTTGTGACGAAGGCCACAGCAAAGACGACGAATAAGATGACGGGAGAGAAGTTATGGAGGGTGTCCAACGCGCGTCTGATAGGCTGCATTTGATGAGCGGCCAGCCCCAGGCCGTCAATGCTGACGGTGCCCATAGCTATCTTTTCCCTCTTTCACGCAACACTTCTCCCTCTCGCTGACGCTCTCTCGGTCTCGGTGGCTTGTACCTTGCGTTATGCCTGGCGGGAGAGTCGAAGTCGACAGCCGGTTTTGCTGATCGCGGGGGGAGGGAGGGGAGAGGAGAATTACTTCAATTGACTGATGCTCATGCTCATGTCAAAGGAGGCCTGACAGTCGACACCCGGCACTTTTTTGCTTATCTGCAGCTCGGAAGAAGAGAAGAAGAAAAAAGAGCTGGAGTTATTTGAGAGCAGAAGAAAAGCAAAGGGGAAAGAAAAAAAAAAAAAAATGAAAGTTGAAGAGGAAAAAAAAAAAAGCGAGCGGAGGGTGGGAGAAAAGACGAGGACGACGACGACGAAACAAGCTGTTGGAAGCTTCCGAATATAAGTTAGCCACGAAGAGGAAGAGACAGCGACAGAACAAGGACAGCGTGAACTACGACGAAGAGAGAGAGACGGACAGAGAGACAGGAAGAGAGGAGAGAAAAGAAAAAAAGGGAAATCGGCCGCAAGAACAGGTACCAGTTTACGCGGCAGGTGGGGGGTGGAGAGGGAGAGGGACGGGGGGGGGGATGTTATTCTTTTTTTGCGATGGCGATGGAGGAGGGACGGAGAGGGAGAGAAGAAGCTTACAAGCTGCAAAAGCCAGGCAGAGGAAGACGGCCGTGAGGATGAAAAGAAGAGGAAGAAGAAGAAGAAGAGGAAGAAGAAGAAGGAGAAGAAGAAGACTGAAGACGGCGAGATGGCGAGAAGCAAGGTACCACACAGGGCCGAACAGAAGGCCGGCGGAACAAAGGCAGCAAATTAGAGATGCCGCGAGCCTCGACGTCACTTCAGGATAAGGCAAGGCCAGCAGCCGGCAGCAGGAGAACAAAGATGCGACAGACCCGGAGCTGCTGATAGGCCCGGCGAGTGTGACGGTGACGCCGGAGACTGCAGTGAGCGAGCTGAAAGAGAGAGCGAGAGTGGAAGAGAGTGGAAAAAAGAGAGAGAGAGAGAGAGAGAGAGAGAGAGAGAGAGAGAGAGCGTCTCGACAGAGCAGTTAGCTAGTTGGTTATAAGCAGCGGAGGCGGCGGCGGCGGAGCGAAAAAGCGTTGAGAAGAGGCGAAAGCGGCTGCCCTGGTCATCTTTTAACTAGTTATCGTCGAACGAGAGAGACGATCGCCTCTCGACTGCTGGCCACGGGGACATACATACATCACTTAGCCTGGCCGTCGACTGCCTCGACGAGCGAGCTAGCTACACTACACTACTACGACTTAGCTCGAGGACTGCGTGCTCAAAGGGACAAAGGCTGCCTCGGGGTGGCAAGGCCCTGCGCCGGCTGCTCTTCTCCAGCACCAGCACCAGCACCAGCACCAGCACGCTATATGTCTATATGTCTATGTATAGTGCATCGTATCTCTCTACCTGCTTAGCTCTCGCCCTGCAGTACTTAGTTAAAGGGCCAGCTTTGATTGATGGTAGTTAACTACCTACGGCTAGTTGGAGTCGTAACTCGTGAGCTCCGGCTTTACCCTCCCCTGCCAGCGAGTATCTCCTACTTCGCTACGCCAGACTCTGCCCGCCTACAACAGCCCTCCTCCCTCCTCAAGCGGTGAAGAAGAAGCAGGACATCTCATCTCTGGCGGTGAAGCTCCGTCCTTTCTTTTTCCTCCTCGTCTTCCTTTCCTTTCTTTTCCCTGCGCGCTGCCGGACCATGTACGTGCATACATATATATACTCTCCATGTACCTAAAAATTTCACACCCAAGCTACCCGGTACATGCGTCCTGTACATCCGCATGATATACTTTTCTCCCACTGCGAACTCACTGGGATGCTCAGAAGGGATAAAAAACTTAGCATGAGCTTTAACCCGTTTTTCTAATCAGGGGTAGGTATCTGATACCTCCCGCCCTGCTGCCACCGCCCCCGAGTTCCCGGTACCCAGTACCCTGCCCGGGGGGTGGTTCGTATGCATGAAAGTATGGGCTGTGCTGACCATTTCTTCTTCCTCCTGCATGGTCTGGGCCATCGCTCTCCCTCTGCTTCTCCGCCATTTTAGCTGCATGCGATGTGATGGAGAGAGTGATGGCACCAAAAGTTACTGTACCCAAGACCAAGGACAAAAGGACAGCTCCAATTTTTATTTTTGCTACTAACAGAGAGGGAGACTTGACTCACTAGTTAACTAACTTGACTACTGATAACGAGTCCCTTAAAACTGGTTGGTTGCGGACAAAGTCGATATGAACGGCTGACCAGCTGCTGTCACCGGAGAGTCTCTCTCCTTCGTCTTCTGCCCTTTTTCTTTTCTTTTCACGCTCCATCTTCTGCCACATGTGATGACAGGGGAGGCTTGCTTTTTCTTCTAGGCTTTTTTTTTTTTTTTTTTTTTTTTTTCTGCTCCGATTCCTTCTTCTTTGCTTTTTCTTTGCTTTGTTTTTTGTACCTCAAACTTGACCTGGGTAACTAACCATCTTTCTTCTCCCGGATGTTTATAGTTTGGTGCCGGCCAGCTCGATCTCTCAACCAACGGCTCATGGCCATGCAAGATCTCTCTCCTGAAACCAGTAGCGTGGCCATGGGCATGGGATCTTTGGCCTTCCATCTTCTTCTGGTCTCGCGGGAATCGGGAAAACTGGGATAGGCTGGCCGGCTTGCTTTGTCCCTGGCCGCTTGTCAGAAACCTACACATCGGCTTTCTCTGGGATGTTTGCATATACTTATACTATAGCAGCAAGCGATTACCGCCTCACTCCTTGTAAGGGATTTGATAACATTCTCTCTCCCTGCTCGGCTATATCTCTTCCGTCCCCCCACGGTCGATACGAACCTTTTATCTAGATAAAACAGTAGCTGCTTAACTCTGTACACACTTTTCCCTAGTTAACCACCATCCGCTTCTCCCCCCTGACGGGCCGCTGCCGCCAAACACAACGACACATACTACTTAGCTCTGTCTACGGAGTACCAACCTAGAATAATAATATGCAATGTAGCGGGCAGTTGATTGCCTTTCTCTTAGACTCACAGGTAGCTTTCCTTCGCCGTCATCCGTGCCGCGGAACCGTCGCTGGCCATCCCCATTCCATGCCATGTCATCAACCTCCCACGGCTTCCCACAGCAGTCACCGCCGTTCCTCTAACTAGCTTTTTCCGTCTCTTGTAACAGGCTCAAACGGATGCCTCTTCCCACGGCCCAGCGTAAGCGAGCCCGTTCTTCCCTTGGATTGCCCTGCCAGGCGAGATTCGGAGCGTCAACTTCTCAAACAACTTCTCCAACAACTTCTCCAAGGTCTTGATAATCTCTCTCCTTCTCTTCCCCCCCCCCCCCCCCCCCCTTTTTTTGCTTCAACCCTTCGCTGGCCGTCAAATTTTAGTCATATGATTGGTGAGAGCTTCGGCCCATTAAGGAAATTCTTAACCTCATCCTTCTCCAAGGGCGATAACCAGCGCCTTTGAGAGCAATTGGCATGTCTTTTTTCTTTGGGCACTTACCGTCTGTATTTACATTGTCTGTATAACTAGTTACCGGTCTACAGCATCCTCAAGTTGACATGCTGATTATACGATGGCCCAACGATTGTAGAAGGCCACTTTGCTTATTCTCACAGTCTCGGGCTTGGAATTCTTCATAATATAAAGAGTACATGCTATTCCAGATTGCTTCTAGCCGTTATCTCGCCCCATCTATGGTCCAGTCTGTCAGTTAATTGCTGTAGAATGTCCAGGATAGCCACAGAACCTTTTTGAAGTGCACGCCATACTTACCCATCATTAAAATGGATTGCACGGTCAGCAAAAAGAAAAGCCACAAAGGGTCAAATACACAGCTTGCTAAAGCAATTCTACCAAGCAATTTAAAATCTGCACCCAAGCAAGTAAAACTCTGTTATATGCCTCTTGAGGACCTTTGGCGAGAACTGTGCCGCCTCGTATGATTATTGAATGACAGACAAGACCTCACATAGCCTTTGAAGTGGGATCTTCATCTCCAGCTGGCCGATCTAGAAAGTTTACACAGAGCACAAGTGTAGTACTCCGTAGTGTCTCGGATACCTTAGACCTAATTCCAAGGTAAATATTTGCAAAGAGCTCCACGAACAACAGTCCAAGGGACAGCGTAGGCTAACCAAAGAAGTAGAAAGGAAGAGCGTAATCTACTCGCCAAGGTCGGCTAAGTTTCGTCCAGCCGTTCGTGAGATTTCGGCCCTTCGGGGTAAATGGAACTCCTATGGCTGTAAGGGAGCTTCTCTAGAGCTTTACCAATAGTACGATTGGTTCCCATACTAGCATGGATAGATACTACCAGGCCCATTGAACATGCGCGTATCTTGATCTGATAATGGTATGTAGCGTCCGAGGCAAGCAAGATCCTCCTGTGGAAATATCTCTCCTACTTTTAAACATGGAAATATGGAATAGCTACATCCCTCCCAGCTCACCCATCCTAGACTATTCTTGGCCCAATAGGTATAGGAGACACCATGACATTCAAAGGCGTCTTTGAGACTTCCTCTGTCTTCCAAACGGCAGCCATGAGCTGGGATGATAATGTTAGTTGGCACTGGCTCCGCGATATCTTCCGTAATACCCTCCGCAACTGCTCGACAGGTGCCATGAACAGCAATATTTCAATTTGAACCGCTGGGGTATCTCCCTTGTCCAATAACTCCATATTAAGATCCAATCGCAGAGCCTCTTTGCAACCCGCGCCCGGCGAATGCTGAAGATCCTATTTGTCAAACAGTCGCCGAGAGGGGGGCGCAGCGTCGAAACCCCAGGCCGTCACGCAATATTCAATATCACCCTCCCTTGTACGGAGTATACCACCATGGTCGATGTCCACCAAGTCAACAGCTCGATGTTGCTGACATGCGGCTGTGAACCTTAAACCAATCACGTGATGCTTCTTAACACCGAAAGAAGCAAAAAGAGACATCGAGAGGCACTTCGCGATTGATGGTCACGGCGCAAGAACAAGATCACGATCCCTGGCCACCACCTTGTCTCGAGGCGAGCAGGCGATGGATCACCAGACGTCAGCAGATCGAGCGGGGCCGATCTGATCTCTCGTCTTGCTTCACACCACAATGGCCGATTCACCGCGCGGCCACAGCTCAGGCATCGCAACTCCAGGTGCCTCTGCTGGTGCTGCACCCCCTCCACCACCGCCGCCGCCGCCGCCGCTACCTCCTCCACCTCCCCCGGCACCTCCCTTACCACCCCAGCGCTATTCAAACAGAGCTACCAGTGCTCTTGCGCGGCTCGCTCATCCATTCATCTACGGTTCCAGGCCTCCAAGCCCACAGCCTACTTCTCCACTACCAGTCCCAACACCACCTCCGGCCCTGGTGACTAGACCCAGTTATACCATCTCTCCGTAAGTTTCGGTGTCTTAGAATGAGAACAATTTGTCCTTCAAGGGCGCAGCAGATCATTTTGATGCTTTGAGAAATACAAACAGCAATCTTACGATATGGGTATTCTATTTTTAGTCCAGGCAGCGCTCCGATAATCACGCATAAGACAGGAATCCCAATATCGGCTGTTGACATCTCCCCACAGCGCACTCATGCCGTCGTCGCCGGAAGGGAAATCCTTAAGACAATACGCGTCACGTCTTCACAGTGTGTTGAAGAGACAAACATCCGGTCCGCTGTGATCGGCCACTCCTCCAGCCACCACCCTTCTGGACCGTCCACCAAAAACAAAGAACATCTAGCTACCAAGGATGTCAAGTGGTCTCATTCGGAGTATAACCGAATCATCGCCGCAGCAACAAGCAATGGACGTATTGTTGTTTACGACCTGAGCCGCCCTGGCGTGGAGTATAGCCGCTTCCATGAGCATTCACGCCAGGTCCATCGACTCGCCTTCAGCCCATATCGTGGGGCCTGGTTACTTTCTGGAAGCCAGGATGCCACCGTGCGACTATGGGATTTACGCACGGTGTCTAGTGATAGAGCTGCCATGCATATAGGGAGTACAAGCGTGTTCAATGGCCACAGCGAGGCAGTACGTGATATCAGGTGGTCTCCTGCTGAGCCTGTAGAGTTTGCCACAGCTACAGACAGTGGTGTCATCCAGAAATGGGACATTCGTAAAGACAATGTTCCTGTTATACGGATAAATGCCCATGAAAAAGCCTGTTCGTCTGTGGACTGGCACCCCGATGGCAGGCATCTTCTCAGCGGCAGTGTGGACCGCCAAGTAAAAGTGTGGAACTTCTCTTCGACTGACCGAAGACAAAAACCGTGCCTCCAACTGAGGACGCCGCAGGCTGTTTCAAATGCGCGCTGGCGACCACCGTCCTTGACAGGTCATGATTATGAGACCGCCAGCTGGGAATCTACTCAGATTGTTACGTCATACGATCAGGAAGACCCCCGTATCCACATCTGGGACTTTAGAAGGCCACATATTCCATACAAGGAACTTGACCGTTATGCCAACTCGGCTACAGACCTATTATGGCATTCCCAAGATTATCTATGGACTGTTACTTCGGAGGGTATATTCATGCAGACTGATATCAGTTTAGCCCCTGAAGCTATAGAGCGAAGAGCTCCATGTGCGGTAACATGGAGTCCTGACGGCAAAGTTCTCGCATTTTTCGAACCACGTCGAAGAAGACACAGGCAGAGTTATAACTACAGCAATACAGAAACTGTTGAATCCGTCCCTGTGCCTTCTCAACGAAGGGCCAAAGAGGGCGAGGACAAGTTACACACTGCCAGTCACAGTCTCACTGACGAGGCTCCCGATGATGGATCTCAAATTGTTGGAATCCGAAAACGTTCAAACAAGATATCATCAGCCAGAAGCTCTAAATCCCTTAGTGCTACCCCACCCATGCAAGATGATGAACTACAGGTCGTCCCACTTGTCAAGTCAGTCGGTAATATTAAAGATATTACCAATCAACAAGACGGCATGATCGGACGTGTTGAGGGAGCAACATTCAACCCGGATGCTTTCCATTATCTAGTGCATCATTATTCGCCACTACTGGCAGACCCGCTCAACGAACGGAATATGTCAGTTGAAGTTGTTAAACACCTTCTAGACGGGTTAGACGAGAATACCCTGCAAGCTGCAGCTGTACGCTTCGACCGGCTGGCGCAGACTTGGCGAATTGTAAGGTATGCCATTTCACAGGAGCTACTAAATCAACACAAGCAGCGTCAACTTGAGTTAAAACAAAACAGTATCTCCAAAGCTGCACCTAAGATTGGTAGCCGTGGCAGTAGCACTAATATAATAAAGCTTGATCCAACTGTTTCTGAGAAATCCAAGACTCGAATCTTCAAAAGTGTTGTTGATGGGGATTCTCAAAGACTTATGACACTAAGTCCGGAGCCTAATTCTGGTGCTACAACTCCACTTGCGCGACCCATTCCCGATTCATCAATTGCTGCTGCTATAGCTGGCGGGCAGGTACCAAATACAGGCTTAAATGAAGAGTTTGGGCAACTAAGACCGATCCCATCACTGATTTTATCAAGTGATGAGGTGCTAAGCAAACAGGCGCAGGCGAGTGTGGCTGGCCTAGGCCTTGATAATGCCGAAGCTGTTTGGCTTCAAGATACCAATGGAATGAAAACTCCGACAAACAAGCGCTCAACTCAACCCAATGGCGAAGAACCAATTCCGGACCAGACAAGATCAGCTCCTCGAGCTATATCTGGTAGGGCAGAATGGAGGCGTGATGAGAAACCTCACCCTAAACCCGCTGGTGATGAATCAGCCATTAAAGATGAAGGTGAAGCAGACGAGGAAGTCAATAAGAAGGAACATGGCGACATTATTGCGCCACAGACCCATCAAGTCTTTCGCAAACACTTGTTATCAATGGAGCGTGCGGCACAGGAGAGACCCTCTATTCCCGTTACATACAAACGCCATGACTCTGGGGAGAGTTTTCCTATGTTTTCAGCTTCAGATAGCTCCCACCGCACAAAGTCCTTTGATGAGGCATCTTCTTCACTCACAAATGAGCCTTCGCGTTATGAAGGCTGGCCATCGACAACTGAAGGGTCGCTACATGATATACCCGAGCTAGAAGGGAGCTCTCCTCCTAGGCCCGGGAGATGGGAAAACCACAGTGACTCAATGAGTGACATGTCATTAGAGGATTTACCTATACAATCTGCGACCGTTGACCTTGAAAGGCCTGTCAGCCCACTACCTTTCCTGGCAGAGTCATCTCCCATAAGAAAGCCTTCACGAGTTGGGTATTCTCGTCCCCCAGCACGGTTTAAAACTCCGCCTGGTATACGTAACCCTTCTCTGCCGCCAGAAACATCTGTTACCCTCCCGCTCTGTCCAAAGTCTACGTCGGACACACCCTGGGGTGTTCAAACAATCGTAAGAGAAATAATAAAACACTACTGTAGTAGTGCATCTGTTGACATTCTCTCTGCGTCTCACCTTCTTCATAAGATGCACATACTCTACAGCTCTTGCGACGAGCTTCTACCCCAGGAAGAGCGGGAGCTAATATTCAAGACCTTCAACGAACAGCTTCTCCGGCAGGGCATGTTTGTTGAAGCCGCTGAATTTCGACTTGTTTGTGTTCCGTCATATCCAGCTCTCTATGACTATGCTCAAAAGGATACATTCATTAACGTGTTTTGTTTTGAATGCAACAAACCCTATGAAAATCCAATCCAAGACAATAAGCTATGCCACCGATGCAACACACCTCAACCCCCATGTACAATTTGCGTCAGTCGTAAACCCCCTGCAGATTGGGTGACTGAAACCAACCATGGCCCACGAACTAATACCAACCTTACTAATGGTTCTTATACGAGCATTAGCCCGCTTGAAGATGGCTTAATATATCAACAACAGGAACAACCTGGATCTCGATTATACGGCTCAGGCTTATGGTCATGGTGCCAGACATGCGGACACGGAGCCCATACAGCGTGTTTAACTGCGTGGCTAACAGATATATCACTTAGCGAAGGTGGCTGTCCCACTCCTGGATGCTTCCATGACTGTGGTCCCGGTCCTCGACGAGAACAGAACCGCCTTGCCCAACAGGAAGCTAGCAAAAGGTCGCGAAATGCCTTCTATGGTCGCAAGCCGAGCTCAACGTTTATCAAGAGAGATTCATGGACAGCCGGCGAAAGCAGAGCTGTTGAAAGGGTCAGAGGCATCCTTGGCGGAGGAGCTTCTAGTACTGTGGAGGCTGGACCTACCGCAGGCCAAGGAAGTACCGCCGGATCTTCTTCCGGTGGTTTAGTGCCCTCAGCTGTTATATCTCCAAAGAAAGTCAGACTTGTTGCACCCGGTGAACAAGACACCGTAGGAAAGGAGCGCTAAAAGCCCCGGTATTGTTAGCTTTGCCCTTTTGAGTGGATGCGCATCCATGAGGATAGATGTGACGGAACATTTCATTTACATACCAAATGGATATAATGATCGTCCTAGCTATGACGGTTATTGGCAGGTTCATAATCCAACATTGTACTAGTTTTCTATACCCTTTTGTCCACGTATGATAATATTAGCCTATTTTAACGGAATATCGATAGCTTGCATGGGCTTTACCGGATCGCAACTTTAGACAACCTACCTAGTCATGTAGGCACGGTTCCTGTAGTTATGGATGGATCCATGCTCAATGCCTGACCTATGGAGGATTGGATTGGAAGTTTAGGTAGGCTTTCGGCCTGGAAAAATAAAATGCCAGCCAAAGGTTCATTCAGGTATCGCATTTAAGGTTACTCCCTTGTGGGGAGGGTCAAATTTAACCACATCCATTCCCAAGTAACTTTGATATAAACAATCAATAGGGGCGTTTAAACATGGTTCAATATTAGACATGAACACTTGAAGACTCTTATATAAAGATTACTGCTCTAATCCTTCTGGGGTTGCTATACATAGCCTCCTCTGCCTAAAACTATGGCTGTTGGTTAACCAATTTTAAAGTTATTCTCTATCTAGCCTCATGGCTCATGATCCACCGGCATTAGGTATTGGTGGCAATCTAGAATACCTAGTGCCATGCGTAATGAGTTATTCTTTGGTTTAGAATTTAATTTTACTACTTCAGTTATGGATGTCTTTCTCAAACCTTTTTCAGTGACAAATAGAACTATCTTCATGGTCGATCACAAGAAACTGCATCGATAACTTTTACTTGCCACAGGTTTATGCTATTTTGGTAAGTAAAGCCTAGAGGCTTATAGCTTTTGTAGTTTTGTGCAAATCTTGATATGCGTTTTCAAATACTTCGCATTAATTGGGTAGCTTTCTTTAGTTAACTCCTTGCTTTATATTCTGGTCTACATTTAGGAGAGTAACTATAGCAAGCAGTCTGCCTCCTGGTTAGTTTTATCCGGAAACTAGCTAATCTTAGCCCCCCTAGAGTGGTTTTCTTCTTGAAACGGTGCAGCAATGTTATAAAGGCATGGCTTATAGTCTTCAATTATGCTTGTCCCAGCCTATAGAATGACTGTTTTTACGCTCTATCAAAGAAGTCAGAACCAGTGTGACACAAAGTCTGCGAAAATCTGGAATCTAGATATTATACGGAGTATGTCTCGAGATAAAATCTGAGAGATTTAGTACTATTCAAGGGTTTAAAACCTGCATGGTTTAACTCTTCCAGGGTCGAGCGATCTAGAATATCTATCGACCGTAATGGATGGCTGGATTCAAGTGTTTACGGTATGTATGACTCAAACAAGAGTCTCATGGGCCTTTCCCGGCCTTAGCCAGCTTATTAAGGGACTTTTAATGCATCCTGTATTCTCTATGCCTCTGGAGCTTCATGGATATATCCAAGGAAATCTCAGTCGTCCGCTAAACCTGCCTGCAGTGACTTGTTGCCTCGGCTGAAGAGTATAGAAAGCAGGACAAGAAGTTAGTTTTCGTCACACACTGTCAAATGATAGCTCGTTTCCGCCATGGAGTAATCCTGCGCTCAGGATCAAATTCTCCGGCAGCGAATAAACATATAAATGGGTAACACGCAGGAAGACAACCTCTCGGCAAAGACGATGGATGAAGCGAGGTTCAGTATCTGCATGTGCATCAGGGCGTTTGAATGTCAAATGCTATCACCCAAGGTTATTAAATACCTCCGAGGATCAATAATCGGTGCGAAATATAGGTGTAATATCACCGTGGCCAGGACGGGGATCGAGAGTTCCGGAACTTTGTTCAGGGATATTATCCATAGTAAAAATTGACCAGTGGCCACTTCTCTCTGCGCTGATAACTAACCAACTAACCCTTGACTAATAGTTAATGGCGAGGAGCTCATTCGTGCGGCAGCATGGGGAGAGCCCGTGTATGTTCAATTGGCTTTTCGGCTGATCATCCAGCATCCCGCTGTGGTCTGCAAGGCGTAAATAATGATGTCCTAGGGGGAACTCAGAGACCTCCGAGGAACAGGGTCAGATTATTCCTTGCTGCATATTCCTAGGGAGAAGATGCGCTGGAGCTTAAGAGGGGGTGGGTGGAAGAATAGTTATGTATGGGTCTAAACGTTTGCAGCCTCCAGATGTCGTACAGCGGGCTCAGAGATCCGATCCGGTTTTGAACACAAGGAGGGCACAGGGTGGATGTTGGACGAAGAGACGGCGTGGATGAATGCTCGGCAGTCTCTTTTGTAATTGTTACATGGGTTACGGCTACCAGGTAAGATCATTCTGCATGGCGCTGCAATTACAGCGATGGTGACTTGCATCAAGCAGAGAACCCAGAGATTCATTGACATTCTTCTCCCTTTGCGTGTCTGCAGGATGCATCACTTCCACATTGGTTGAACAAAGCCATCAGTTCCAATTATCGAACCGCTAAGCGTGTGGCACGGCGCCGCAGTCTCCGGTTGGCTTTGAATGCTAAAGTCATGCTTTGTTATTCTATAACTAACTGGCTTCGCTAGAGTTATCCCCATCCCATTAGAAATGAAAGTGACAGCGGCGGGCTCCTTTTCAGTCATCAAAAAGCAAATACATGATTTTTCCAACTGACGGGTACCCCCGTACGGAGTAATGGGCGTCCACTTAGATACGATCAACCGCCGTGTTGCGTCCTGGAATCAATTCAAACGCCTGGTGTGCCTTGGATGGGGTTGAATCCGTAGAATATCAACTCTGAAAAAGAGCCAGCCACAGTAAAGTCGACACAGGAGGTGCTTTTTGGACACGTCATCTTCAACAACGAGGCCACCATCTGGTATTAGTTAACCAACCTCGATTACAGTTCTACCACAGAGTACGTGTCTCTGATATACCTAGGTTATAGTCGAGAGCAGAGTAAACTTTCAATGGTGTTTAAACATGACCCTTTGCATGGTCTCTCAAGGGCGAAGATACTACTGCACATGTGTCAGCACTCACAGGTTTATGGAGATTGCACATATTGTACTCCGTACAGAGTACGGAGTACAAGAGTGTTAGGATGCATTCTCCGTACTCTGTACTACGCTCCGTGGTGCGGCTATACGGAAAGTATGTGAGACCTGAAGTCCATAACCATTTCGTCAAGCCAAAGAAAAAAAAAAAAAAAAAAACGACATGGTACGGGATGCAGTTACAGAGGAGAATGGCAGCCTGACCCAAAGGCGCATATAGCTACTCCGTAATCGTCGACCTTGACAGCAAAGACGCTAGGTCCCTCCCGTTTTCCCCTCCCTTTGCTTTTAACTTCTGTAAACTAATAATGCACAAGCTAGGTGAGCAGATTCTTGCTCTCAACGTACGGGATACTTCGTATCTCCTAGACGAGGATGGCGGTTGTAATGCGGAGTAGAGCACGGAGTAAAGGAGAAACGGACGTCCTTAGCGCAGAGCCAGGCTTATAATATTAGCATCATTGGCCCGGTGAAAGGGTCTGATCGCTTGTGCACCAGGAAACACTGACTATGACTGAACATGAGAAGAGACCGCATGGGGGCGGCTGACTTTGATGCCATATTTTCGTTGTTTTATTAGCCCTCTAAGTACGGCGTATCACCTCCCAAGCCAAAACAAAACCACGCCTGGTCCAGATAACTAGCCACTATTTAATTACCAGATGAATGACCTCTTACTGCAGCTAATGTACATATGTCGAACGGGGAACCAGCCGTGTACATGCCCACCTCATGCACCCAAGGAAATACCCCCACATTAAGCTCGTCGGCTCAAAAATGGGTAGAAATCGAAACCGTAAAAGAAGCCGAAAGTCACTCAATAATAAACCCCATACGCCAGCGGTGCTTATGGGTCCCAGTTAAAGGGGAAAGAGAAAGAAAAGAAACAAAAATCCGAACGAAGAACAGCCCGCGGAAGGGCTTTGGCTCTGAAAAAAGTACGGAGTAAACGAAATGGGGAGAAAAAGCAAAATAGAGAATCCCGTTTACAGGGCACGGCACACTGGTGCCCCAGCGCAATGTTCAAAGCAACGGCTGGGAAAAAGAAAGTAATGGGAATAGGACGAATGTGTGCCCATCGAGTTGGAGAAGTGTGTATCCACAAACGAAATATCAAAGTTTACTGCAGTAGGGAATTAAAATCTCGACCGATCGGCTGGCCTCCTAAGACAGTAGTCCCAGAGGGTTGTTGGTTCTCATCCAGATCCAAGTCGGGGTAAAATAACGGTGATCGTGGTATGAGCTCATTACAACCCAAGAGGTTTTCAAGCCCGTAGTCGCTCAACACGTAGTCATTCACTGGTTCTGCAGGCCCATACTCAACGCAGCTCGCCGTTTGAGCGAGTATGTCGTGTTGATTGAAGGGTATATCAGAAAGAGGCGCATTTTGAGAGTTTCGGTCAAGTCTTTGAGACTCTTGAATGGCTCGTCTGTATTTGGCGGCTTTTTTGGCGGCACGACCTCCCCTAGCTCCTGATTTTTGCCTCTGGGGGGCTGGATGATCCGATTTTTGGGATTTCTTGTGGACTCCTGGCTTGCGGTAACGGGTTGTGGACTGTACTCCATGCCTGATAGCACGTTCAGTGAGGACCCAAGCGTTACCAGATTTCCGGGTTTGCGCCCCAGGTGATAAAACTTCTTTGACGCCTTCGAATGCCTAGTAAAGTGAGTAGGAATGCTTATGAAGAGGTTTGGAGGATGTCTCAGTTTCTTACCGCATTCATAGACAGGTTATGCCGAATGCTATTCTGCCATCCTTTAGAATCAGAATTTTTGGCTTTACTAGTATTCTTTTCAAACCACTCGTATATCTCCTTCAAAACCATCTTATGACCAGGGGCAGACATGAGTGCTCTCCAAATCAGTCTTGCGTAGGGTTCTTCGGATGAGACACTGTCATCGTCTGTCTCATCTTCGGATGCCAAGTTCACGGCCTCGGGTACAGAACGTACAAGCGAGTCAGAGCCATAGAGCACATGGAAGTCAACTGGGGAACTAGAGCCAACAGAGTTCTCAGGCGAGAGAGGGGGGTAAATGGCGCTTTCCGGCCGAGAGGTCGAGCTATCAAACGACGGTCGAGAACCAGTAGATACTGAATTTGGATATTGATTATCAAATATCTGGCTGCAATTTCTCTGCGAGGTTGTGGAGGTGTTTGGTTGCCCGGAGGTCTGGTATCCGAGGCGTTCGAGCTCGTGGAATTCATCAAACAGAGGATAGGTCGCGGCGAAAAGGTCAAGTTCCAGCTCGGTAGGCCCGGAAGTTTCGCCTTCCCAAGATAGTATGTTTCCCTTATTCTCCACAATATCATACGCCATTGCGTCCGTGCTGCAAAAAGTATTTGGTTGAATAGCTGAGCCCCAACTTCCATGACTGTGTGTCATGGATGAAAATTGCCGTTGTTGCTGGAGAGGGTCTCCAAAGAGACTTGGATCAAGCATCTGTTGCAGTATTGAAGGATGAGAAATCACACGCCTGTGCTGATGTAGCGAAGTGGCAGCAGAGCCTGGAGCGCATTGACTTTGAGATATCTCACTGCCCTGCGGAGTGGTAAAAGGATGGGAATTGCTATGATGCATCTGTGTACAGATTGAAGGGCAGAGAATGCTCGTGTCATCGTCCATATCTTCTCAACTTTCCTCAAGATTTGGAGGAACGAGCTCCATCCAATATGTTTAAGACAGTGTTAAGATTTGTGGAGACAGAAGATCTCAAGGACTAGGTTGAGGCCGGCTTTCCAGGAGAAGATTCGTGAGACAAGGGTATGGAGAAATAAGGAAGTAACTAGAGCTTCTCTAGGCAAATTTCATATATTGTCCTGCAAAATGGTTGAGTCCTGTGGGAGAACATGCCAGCTCACCTGCGCGACACGATTGCTGCAGACAACCCGTAAAACTCTTGTCGAAAATGAGCAAACAAAGCAGCAAAAATGATGGATGAATGAGAGGGCTTTTGTATGCTGAAATATTGCCCTGCCTGAAAAAGAATGCCTTTGTGGAACAGCAATCTTTTGGAGGTATACACAACCGATTATTGACCAAGGATGCTAGAGAACTCCAAGTTCTACAGCGGTAGCCTGACGGGACGGGGAGCAGGTTGGGGAAAATGTGTCAAGCAGACTAGCTTCAGACCTTGTCATGCTCGTTGGGCACAGACGGGGAGCTGCAGGAGAACATTAACCTGTCATGAGTTACATCCCGCAGAACGGTCTAGCTCAAGGTGGCTGGGTTTCAGGAAAAAGCACCGGATAGGGTCTTCTGGAAGGTCTCACAGCGCAAGGTCCGGTGAGGCGGCTGTAAGCCTCCAATTAAAATTACCGTAGATCTCCAGATGCATGTCCAATAGGATGACCAAATAACGCGGCCTTGGAAATTAACACCCTAACCACCTTGAGTACGAAGGATACGTCAATGCAGTCTTGCAACAAACTTCCCAGCGGAGTGGTCATATTTAACCAACTAGCCTGGCGTGGGCGGTAATAGGCTGATTATAAGTAGACATCATTTGGGCAAGGTGTGCTGCTGTTCCTTGAGAGCACAATTCCCCTCGGAACAATTCTTAAACTTGGAGAAATATAACAAGACGCCCAAGTGCCACGAGCGTCGCCTTAACTTGTGAAATCCCGGATACTATCGTAGAGCATACTGCGTTCGCTCGCACCATGTGATGCAGGTGTAAGAGCAGGCTATAATCATGTTTACCTCAGCATCACTTACGATAGTATATCTGTGATAAGTGTTAGCCTGTGTAGTTGCAAGCGTGGAAACAGCAAAATATGAGATGATACATACCTTCTTAAATTGGAAATGAAGTTGCAAAATGCCCTGGATGGTAATTAGCTGAGGCGCCCAAGTGCATGGCAATGTTTGAGCCACATAAAATCAAAACTAGTACGTACTTTATCAAACGTGCTCCTAAACCCACGCTCTCGCTTTGCACTGTAGTCCCACTCCTTGTCTACAATACGGAAGGCCAAATCTTCATAGGGTGGACCAGCAATGAAGCGAAGTAGACATGTGTCTTCTTCTCCGGCGGGTGCAAAAGACTGTCCTCGTTTCCTACCATGTTCTCTTTCGATGCGATAGGTGGGGGCTTTTGCTTTGTCAATAAGATCCGGATAGAAGATGTTGAATTTGTACCCCTGCACAACTTTTGGGGGAGGATCATCATAGTCATAATGGGTTTGGTTATATTTGTTCCATTCATATCCCATCTGCACACGGTTGAAGTATCGTGGCTTTCGTGGCCTGTACTTATTCGCCCAACTCGGTTTAGATGTGCTGATAGTCTCTTCTCCAGCAAATATCTCCTCATTTTCACTAACTCCTCGTGCAACTTCCCTTTCGTATAAGGCTTTTGTGGCCTGGGAGAAATCATCATTTGTCGTTGGAAGAAAGCGTGGAGCAGAAGATGTAATGGCAGGAGATTCTGATGTGACCATAGATGAAGGGGCTTGTTTCTCAGTCAAGCGGTTGCGTAGCGGGACAAACCCCATTTTGATAATTTTCTTCCTTTCTTGGGCCTAGATGCAGTTAATCACAAGATAGGAGTGAATAGATATGGGGATAAGTTAAACATACTATATGGCTCAGCAACTCTTCTTCATCCATAACCTCTAAATTTTTATCTTGACTGCGAAGTTGTAGAAGAGGCTCAGGGTCGAGAAGGGTCATCCGTTCAAGCTCCTGCTGCGAGGTTCGAGTATCCTTATATGGGGCTAAAGGGGCAAGCTTTTTCTGAACACTCTCAGCCTCCTCGCGCTGTTGCTTCCGCAGCTCATCAACGCGGTTTTTGATAACAGCACTATAAACTCGCTTTAATTTCGCACGCGCCTTCCATACCGAAAGGCTCTTTAAGAGCTGCTCCCAATAATCAGTATCAACCGGCTCATTAGAATCCAACTTCCGGCGTATTTGCTTTTCTAGCGTGACAAGCTCATCATATGTTTTTGGACTAAGCAATCTATCAATATCAGCGGCAACTGAGTTAACCGCACGGTTTTCTGGGGCCGAAGATTCCGCCTTGCGAATCTGATCTTGACAGATTACTTTCATAGTCTAGATAAAGATCAGTAAGACAGCGCACTGTAGATGTCTCGTATGATGTGATATACCTTCCAATAGTCACGATTATCAGCACTGGTTTCAAGAGACAAGAAAGTATCGATGTCCTTTTCAAGGCTTGACAGCTGTGCATTTGATAATCCTTCAAAAACGCCCTCTGGTTCCACTAAATCTAGTTCTGAGTCTGCAATTTCGTCGTCTAATGGGTTCCGAGTCGGATCGATAACACGAAGAGTAATGGTGAGCCAGTCAATAGGTTTGGCGCGTCCATCTTTAACTCGTAATTCGGCCTTCTTCTTTGCTTGCCTAAGCACAAACGTGTCTTCCTGAGCAACCCATTCACGCATTTCTTCATCTTGTTGTAATTGGTTAAGCCGTGTTTGTTCTTTCAAGTTCCAAGCGCCTCGATTCGCACTGCCTTGACCCCTACTTCGACCAGCGTACGGATACTGGCCATCGATATGTCGCAATTTCTCTGGCGGTGCGTGTGGAGGTGGCGAACGAGACCTCGGTCTCTTACTGCCGTATCGATCTCTAGGATTTGAGGGCATTTGTGGGAAATGGAAAGACGAGAGAGGTGAGACGATATTGAGGATGCTTTTCTTATGCGTTGCGTTGGGTGTTCATGATATCGCTTTTTGACGTTGAGGTTTAACGAAGCTGATCCCGGATCAAAACGGCAGCTTTTCCGAGCTCGGCATACTTTCCCTTTAGTGAGCGTTTAAGGTTAAGTTAAACCATCTACTCTGACGCTTGTGTCAACTGCAACTGCTGCCTGTACGGAGTACAGCAGACGATTTATGAAAAATCTTCAGCAATTTTACTTGAATCATGACTTTTCCTAAGACTTAGTAAACATGACACGAAACTGGGTGAGGCTACCGCTTTATAGCGATTCATACCCACCACTTCTATTCAGTTACGAGCCAAGCTCGGAGGGCTACGATGTCTTTCTCACTGACCTGGGCCATGTTTGGTCTGAGAGTTTAAGCCATAAACAAATCATTGATCGCGCCGCCAAGGACGATACCAGCATCGACCCCAGTCAGGATGAGGACCAGTACTCAGTACTGCTACAAAAAATCAATGATGCGCTGCATGGGTCTGAAGGAACATCACTGTTCCTTTCTGGCCGAGGTGCTGGATCGAGTTTAAGACTGTCGACTACTACGAAGCTACCAAAGCCCCTAGAACCGTTAGAGTGGACATTAGTCTTGTCCAAATGTTCTCCTTCTGCATTAACACGTCATATGCTAGTACCCACATTACGGAGCTGGCTGGGGATCGAGGCTCAGCAACAATCCCTTTGCGAGCTTTTAGAAGAGAAAGATAAAATAATAGGAAAACTTTTCGACAAAATAGAGTCATCGGGCCTTGACTTAAGCACTGTTTTCCCCGGGATGGCGAATATACGGCATGGCCAAAAGAGAGGTTCTCTGTTTTCACAGGCATCAAAGCTGGTGAAAGGAGTGAGCCCGTTTGACAAAGGTTCTTGGGAGACTATACATTCCAGCGGTGCTTCGAAGAAATCTACGTCAATACCAGTTTGGAAGTACCTGTATGATGATGATCTATTTGATGCACGAAATATGGAACTCATAGAATCTGAGTGGTGGAATCTGCCTACAACATCCCGTAGCTCCAACCACCCTGGAAAACAAGCTCCAAACAATCTTGAGAGATGCACGGAAAATGATGGGAGTGAAAGTGATAACGAATTTCAAGTATTTCTACCTGTTCTACACGATCTCATGGCTGTATTGCTAACTTCAAGCTGTAGACTCAAGAGACCCCCCCAGGACTCAAAGAAATTGGGACAAGGTCCTCGCCGGACACAACTGGCCATCATATTAATTCAGAAATTTCCCCAACATGGCACAGCAAGAAGTATAAAAGTTCCTCTCAGAAGCCTGGGAGCTTGGGAAATGCAAACGCGAACATAAAAATACAGCCACGCACCGATTCTGAGGATTCAACTACTACCAGTGCACCAGAATCACCGCCACGACAGAAAAACAAGCTGAAGAGCATTGGGACTATTGGTGGGAAGAAGCCTAGGCCACCACCCAGGCAACAGGAGCTTGATCCTGCCGCGTCGGAAGCAGATGATGTCGTTGACAAACCCCCAAAGCCCAATTTGGAAGATCAGGCCACACCATCACCGACGGAAAGTGACACTAGTGGTGATAACGATGACGATATCCATAATAAAGGAGCTAACAGAGCTAAGGGACAAACTCTGCCTCAACAAAGCCACAGAGGCTCTCAAGAGACTGATTCAACAACCCAGGTCGCTCAGCTGGAAAGACAAGGACCTCCACGCACACGTGGGCTCGGGAGAATTGGCGGCAAGACACAGAAAGAATCGTCGAGCCAGAGTTTGGGTGGGAAAGACGATGCTCTTGCCACAAGCTCCTGGGGCAAGACAGATAGTCCTGAAGCAGAAGAGGGAGGCGGTGACCACTCCAACAGTGCAAGCAAACAACAACCGCCCGACTTGTCACATGGACATAATGAGCAATCAACGGCAACTGCTAAGCCGCACAAGCGGAGTGGTAGGCTTGGTATTATTGGGGGATCGAAAGCTTCTAGCAAATTCGCCAATGTCAAGGGAAGGAATACATCCTACAATACTACGATTTTACAAGACACCAAAGATAGTAGCCACCATGAAGCCAGCAGAATGGTTGATACAAGAGAAGGCCCAGCACAAGAATTACCTTCGTTGCCGCCTAAATCCAGTGCTATTGATCAGACAAAAGCCGAGAACACCCCGGGTAAAGAAGAATCTCCGGAGGAAAGGGCAGATAGAAAACGACAGGAACTACGACGCCAGCTTGAAGCAGCTAATAAGGGTCAAAACAAACCAGCAAAGAAGAAACGAAGATTCTAACATAGGTGCTATCTCTTTAGTTATAAGTACAGGATACATCATCCTTCATATCCATTTTCAAATATGTACTGGACGAGGATAAATTGGTTCCTATTCAGCTTGTCTGGTTCAAACCAGGTGCTGCATTTAAGTGATGAGAAAAAAAATCTAATCCATATGGAGCTATTCCCTGCGATTATATCTGAACGGACCACCCAATCAATCCGTGAGCGAATTGGACTCCTCATCGTCCTGCGGGGTGGCGTAGATATGTAGTGAGGCTTGAATGCCGACTGATTATGCTAAAACCGCATCGAAATGAAGACTTACCACAATTCTACGTGCGTAAAGAGTATACGAGTGGTTGTCAAATCATGAGTGATTTGAAGACATTCGATAGGTTTAGGAAGTTTCTTGTCATTAATAATTGCTGTATTTCGAGGACAGCACGGATGAAAGACGAGAATATTCCAAACGACATCACAGTAGGCAGGAAAACTTCTGACTTTGAAAAGTATTGCCGTACACTATAAAGAGGACTGGCCGATAATGCATTTCATGATTATATTCTTTTCATTTCGGGAACTCCCACCGGTAACAGAGATGGTATTCCCGCCCCAAACTCCGTTTGTGATCGAGTCTTGATTCCCGTTCATTTCAGGTATCACTGCATCACTCTGGTATTCCCTTTAACACGTCCACAACCCCACACACAGCATGTAATCTATCGCTTCTTGGACGAGGTTGCGGCCTTCTCCTGTGATTCCTTGAGGACTTTCTTGACGATCTTCTGCTCCTCAATCAAGAAAGCGCGGACAATGCGGTCCTTGACACAGTTTCCACAGCGGGAGCCGCCGTAGGCACGGGTGACGTTCTTCTTTGGGCGGGAGATCTGGGAGTATTCACGTGGGCGAAGAGCAGGAATCTTTAATAATATATCAAAGCAGAAGGTCAGTTGGGATCCTTGCAAAATATTGTTGTAAAAGATGCCGGCTGAGCATGATCCCCTTGATATCCAAAGTAAAATAATCATTTGAATTCGCGGAAATCATTTCGACGGTCGCTCATTTGGGATTACTCACACCTGGGAGTTTGATTCCACAGTCACCACATTTGGGAGCAGAGGCCTTCTTCTTGATGTGAAGGTATCGAAGGTTGCCGCCTGGGGTCTTGATAACACGGACCTTGTTAGATCGCGTGTTGTATCTAGTCGCAAGACTGTATTAATTATCTGAACGCCAGTAAATTCATTTCAATCGCAAGAAGATCCGCTTGGTTGGACACGTACGGGTTCCGTCGTCGCTATAAAGGACATGGGCATTAGCAACTGCTTCGGCAACAGGAATCAGATTTGAGATGTTAACTTACATATTGAAGTCTTGTGGAAGTCATCTTGTCGGCTTTCCAATCTCAACAACTGGCGAGATCAAAGGGGAGAGACTGGAGTGGCAGCTGGGTGACGTCGGCTCTTTTCTTCGTTGTCGTCAATATCAGATTTCCAGCGCCTTCAAAAAAAAAAAGCGAACTAAGCGATTTGTGTGGGCTGGGCTAGTCACGGGATCCAAGCTCCCCTTTTGGCGAGCGCCCACTAGTCCAAATCGGGACAAGTATCACGCATCGGAAGAATGAAGCTCCCGTTCCCAAAAAGGAATGGTTCAGAACGCGCCTCAATAGCTTTTTTCATCAAAGCAAGCAAAAAGTCGAGACAGCAAGACAGAACGACAGACAGAGAAGACAAGACAACGCTTCGGACGTGTTTTGGCCGCACTCCAAGCTGTATACCTCTGCGTCAGTCTGTCATATTCTCTCTCTTCTTTTCATTACCTATTGCCATTGTATTAAAACCTTTTCTGTCTCCGGGATAGAGCCAGAAAAAGGCCCCATGTCTAGCCTGAGGTATCTTTACCGAGCACTCCTTTAAATCCGATCTTTCGAACGGAGAACGATATCTTTTTTTCAGATCTTCTTACGGGCTGACTGCTCGCCATGGCGTCCCTCCCCCCGCCACCTCCTCCGGGATGGGGAGCTGCACCTCCACCGTCGATGCCTCTTGCACCTCCGCCGCCAGGTTATCGACCGGCGCCAAACCCGATGCTCGCTAAGTTCGAACAGAAGAAGAAAGAATGGCTCCGGAGCCAGCGCAATCGCTTTGGAGAGAAAAGAAAGGCGGGATTTGTTCAGTCCCAAAAGGATGATATGCCGCCCGAACATCTTCGGAAGATTGTTAAAGATATTGGCGACGTGTCGCAAAAGAAATTCAGTACCGATAAGCGCAGCTATCTTGGAGCTTTGAAGTTCATGCCACATGCCGTATTGAAGCTTCTGGAGAATATGCCTATGCCTTGGGAATCAGCGAGGGAAGTCAAGGTTCTTTACCACGTCAACGGCTGTCTGACCCTGGTTAATGAGACGCCGCGAGTTATAGAACCAGTCTTCCATGCACAATGGGCGGCGATGTGGGTATGTATGCGACGTGAGAAAAGTGACAGACGGCATTTTAAACGTATGCGATTTCCTCCTTTTGACGACGAAGAACCTCCGCTGTCATGGTCAGAAAATATTGAGGACGTTGAACCGCTCGAGCCAATTCAAATGGAGCTTGATGAGGCGGAGGATAGTCCCGTTTTTGAGTGGTTTTATGATCATAGACCTCTGCTTGATACCCCTCATGTCAACGGACCAAGCTACAAGGAATGGAACCTTACTCTACCGCAGATGGCTACCCTCTACCGACTAAGTCATCAACTTCTCAGTGACGTTGTGGACAAGAATTACTTCCACATGTTTGAACTGAACAGCTTTTTAACTGCAAAGGCTTTGAATGTTGCCATTCCTGGCGGACCCAGGTTTGAACCTCTTTACAAAGATATTGACCCCAATGATGAAGATTTCGGCGAATTTAATGCGATTGACCGCATCATATTCCGAGCCCCGATAAGAACAGAATACAGAGTTGCATTCCCATATCTCTACAACTCTCTGCCAAGGAGTGTGAAAATTTCTTGGTATTCGCATCCTCAGGGGGTGTACGTCAGAACTGAGGACCATAATCTTCCAGCATTCTATTTTGATCCTATCATAAACCCAATATCCTCTCGATCTGTTGCGCCACAGAATATAACAGTCAGTCACGAAGATGAGATCTTTGGTCATGGTAATGATGAAGATGACTTTGAGCTCCCAGCGGCTGTTGAGCCATTTTTAGCGGATGAGGAGCTATACACAAGCGAGACATCATCTGCCATTAGCTTATGGTGGGCTCCTTATCCATTCGACCGACGATCTGGAAGAATGGTTCGTGCGCAAGACGTGCCCCTGGTAAAACAATGGTATTTGGAACATTGTCCTCAGGGCCAGCCGGTTAAAGTTCGAGTATCCTACCAAAAGCTACTCAAGACATATGTTCTCAATGAACTTCATAAGCGGAAACCCAAGGCTCAGAATAAACAGAACCTTTTGAGAACGTTAAAAGGCACCAAGTTCTTTCAACAAACTACTATCGACTGGGTTGAGGCTGGCCTTCAAGTTTGTCGCCAGGGGTTTAACATGCTGAATTTACTTATCCACCGGAAGAATTTGACCTACTTGCACTTGGACTACAACTTCAACCTTAAACCAGTGAAAACTTTGACCACAAAGGAACGAAAGAAATCTCGGTTCGGAAACGCTTTCCACCTGATGAGAGAAATTCTCCGTTTAACGAAGTTGATTGTTGATGCCCAAGTTCAATACCGTTTGGGAAATATTGACGCTTTTCAGCTCGCGGATGGCATCCTCTATGCTTTCAACCATGTCGGTCAATTGACCGGAATGTACCGATATAAATACAAGCTCATGCACCAGATTCGATCATGCAAGGACTTGAAACATCTTATTTACTACCGGTTCAATTCCGGTTCAGTCGGCAAAGGCCCTGGGTGCGGTTTTTGGGCACCTGCCTGGAGAGTCTGGCTCTTCTTCCTTCGCGGTATAATCCCTCTCCTAGAGAGGTGGCTTGGCAATCTCCTGTCAAGACAATTTGAAGGCCGTCATAGTAAGGGTGTCGCCAAGACTGTCACTAAACAGCGTGTTGAATCTCACTTTGATTTGGAACTCCGAGCCTCTGTCATGGCTGATTTGATGGATATGATGCCAGAAGGTATCAAACAAAACAAGGTTAATACTGTCCTTCAGCATTTGTCGGAGGCGTGGAGATGTTGGAAGAGCAATATTCCCTGGAAAGTACCTGGTCTGCCAGCTCCCATTGAAAATATCATCCTACGTTACGTAAAGAGCAAGGCAGACTGGTGGATATCGGTTGCTCATTACAACAGAGAGCGAATTCGTCGCGGAGCTACTGTTGATAAAACCGTCGCCAAAAAGAACCTTGGAAGATTAACCCGTTTGTGGCTTAAAGCTGAACAGGAAAGACAGCACAATTACATGAAGGATGGTCCTTATGTGTCTTCAGAAGAGGCCGTTGCGATTTATACAACCACAGTTCACTGGCTGGAGTCGCGAAAGTTTTCGCCGATTCCTTTTCCTAGTGTGTCATATAAACATGATACTAAGATTCTGATCCTAGCCCTCGAACGGTTGCGCGAGGCTTACTCGGTCAAAGGTCGTTTGAACCAGAGCCAGCGAGAGGAACTTGCCCTGATTGAACAGGCTTATGATTCTCCTGGCACTACTCTCGCGAGAATTAAGAGATTTCTTCTTACCCAACGAGCTTTCAAAGAAGTTGGTATTGACATGAATGATAACTACAGCCATATCAACCCGGTGTACGACATTGAGCCCATCGAAAAGATCACAGATGCCTACCTCGACCAATATCTCTGGTACCAGGCCGACCAACGACACTTGTTCCCAGCCTGGATCAAGCCATCTGATTCAGAAGTACCGCCTCTCTTGACATATAAATGGGCCCAAGGTATCAATAATCTGTCCAATGTTTGGGAGACTGCTGACGGTGAATGCAATGTCATGATTGAGACCCAACTATCTAAAGTATATGAGAAGATTGATCTGACATTACTAAACCGTCTTCTCCGTCTCATCATGGATCATAATCTGGCTGATTATATCACTTCGAAGAACAACGTCCAACTTAACTACAAGGACATGAACCATACCAACAGTTACGGTTTGATACGAGGCCTCCAGTTCTCTGGCTTCGTATTCCAGTACTACGGCTTGGTCATCGACTTGCTCCTTCTCGGTCTGCAGAGAGCAAGTGAAATTGCTGGCCCACCACAAAGCCCAAATGATTTTTTGCAGTTCAGAGATCGTGCTACCGAAAGCAAACACCCTATTCGTCTTTATACTAGATATATTGACAAGATTTGGGTATTCTTCCGGTTCTCAGCAGATGAGTCGCGTGATTTGATTCAGCGTTTCTTGACAGAGCAACCTGACCCAAATTTTGAGAATGTTATTGGCTACAGAAACAAAAAATGCTGGCCGAGAGATTCTAGAATGCGTCTTATGAGACACGATGTGAACCTTGGCCGTGCTGTTTTCTGGGACCTGAAAAATCGCCTCCCACGGTCCATCACGACTATCGAATGGGATGACACATTTGCAAGTGTCTACAGCAAGGATAACCCAAACCTATTATTTTCTATGTGTGGTTTCGAAGTTCGTATATTGCCGAAAATCCGTAACCAAAATGAAGAATTCTCTGTTAAGGATAGTGTGTGGTCTCTATCAGACAACACCACTAAAGAGCGAACTGCATATGCTTTCCTTCAGGTCACAGAGGAAGATATTCAAAAGTTCAATAACCGTATCCGGCAGATCCTCATGTCCTCCGGCTCTACTACCTTTACGAAGATTGCCAACAAATGGAATACCAGTCTGATTGCTCTTTTTACTTACTACAGAGAAGCTGCTGTCTCCACTGTCAACTTGCTGGACACTATTGTTAAATGTGAGACGAAAATTCAAACCCGAGTCAAGATTGGTCTCAACTCGAAGATGCCCTCACGCTTTCCCCCAGCTGTCTTTTACACTCCTAAAGAACTAGGAGGCTTGGGTATGATTTCCGGGTCACATATTCTTATTCCCACCAGTGATAAGCGATGGTCAAAGCAGACAGACACTGGCGTCACTCACTACCGGGCGGGTATGTCTCACGATGAGGAGACCTTGATTCCAAATATCTTTAGATATATAATTCCTTGGGAAGCTGAGTTCATTGACTCTCAACGCGTATGGATGGAATACTCTCAGAAGCGTCAGGAAGCCAATCAACAAAACCGCAGGCTGACTCTTGAGGATCTGGAGGATAGCTGGGATCGTGGACTTCCCCGAATAAACACCCTTTTCCAGAAGGACCGCAGCACGCTGAGTTTTGACAAAGGTTTCCGTGCTAGAACCGAGTTTAAGATATACCAGCTCATGAAGAGCAA